TTTGTTTTTCCTTCGAAATGCGATGGAAAAAGTCTGCTAGGAGAGTTTTCTCTCATCTCTTTGGCTTTTTCGCTGTCGAAGAAGCTGATATTCGCAGGATCTGAATGAGTTTTAGTAAGTGCGTTTTCAGAACTAGACCCGTGTCCGGAATCACTTGATGGATTCTGCTCCACCACAGCGGCATCACTAGGAAGTAAGTGAGATACAGTAGATAAAGAAGGCAGTTTATAAATCAACGGTTGCCCGCTGTTAGTGTTCAATGGCATTACGTCTCCTAGACCGTCAATGGTGTCCATCACTTCATCAATTGTGATGGCTGGCAAAGCTCGCATTTCAACTCCAGCTCGATCCTGAGACACAGGACTTTCTGGGACCTGTGGATGTGCAAGATATGGTGATGAGCTGCAGGTCGTAGACGAACAAGAAGTTTCCCAAAAACTCCCAGCTTCCGATGCGGCTGAAGATGAGCTGGTTATTTTCCCGTGAGTATTGACCCAACCCGATGCTTCTTCTTCGCTTATTTTGCGGTAAAATGAAGTGGTCGTTGCCTCCACCGAGTCTGCGGCACCAGGGTGAGGCCCACTTTGATCAACTCTTTGATTTCCAGATTTGACTAAGTCAGAAGACTTCAGGCTTTTCTTGACGCCTGACGCAACTTCAGCATCGTAAACATTGTAAGTCTTCGACACACTGGCTTTGTTTCTTTGTCTTTTTTTGAAGCACCTTTTGCTCTGATTGTTTTTCCTAAAATCACGGATATTTGTATGAGGCACTGAACTAAAAGACTGAGATAATGAATAGCTACCAGTTTTTCCCCTGGTCTTTAGCCGAGTTTCAATTCGTCCTTGTGAATTATTATCGGTCTCGGAATCGGTGAAAGACTCAAGAGACGAATCACTGATCTCGCATTCATCTGGAGGAAGTACCTCTGGAAGAGCATCGTCAGCTCGCGACTTGGAGTATTTGGTCAACATAGACAGAGATGCGGCAGATGAGACAGGCCTAAACCTAAAGCATCAACATTATTTAAACAAATCACAATCTATAGTTTTCAATAAAATAAAACTCAACGGTTTATAACAAAAATTTTCACTTATGGCATTTAAAACTTTTAACTATCGATACTGAATACTTGGAAAAAAAATCTGGTAAATTTCACAACACAATCGCTTTTCAGGCGTCATGAATTTATTCATAGGATCATAGCCACTGATAGATCACAGAAATTATCTAAAAAAACACTTGGTGTAAATTTAAACAACTATGGCACGGCACGCATGTTGCGTCGACGAGCGTACCACGCTAGTGAAATCTTAGCTTGCATCGCGCGTACACACACAACCGACCGCGAGCGCTCCATCCACGCCAGTGAACGTTCCATAGAGTTGGCTGAGCGGTTGGTTGCCTTCCTCTGATATCGCAGAGGGGTGCGTGCGTTTTTATTCAACAAACTTCTTGGTAATTGATCCACGAAACTCCAGCGTATACCGTAACACTTTTAACACTTTTACCATAAACCCACAACAATGACACTCAAGTTAAGAGTTTTATTGGGGAAGTGATGAAGTACAATGAAATTATTACTATTACTTTGCATATGGCCTACAGGAGAGGGTTCGTGAATTTCTGAATTTAGGCGTTTTCCAGATTCATATATGTCACATAAACTTCAGAGGTCGTCATTTACTCCTTTGCTAGTTTTTCAGTGAAATTCAGTTGTTAAAATTAACGTTTAATTGCGAGTATCAAACTAATTTCTAACATTGTATGTTGTGTTGAATCTTAATGGACAAACATTTTCAGTTCCGTATTTTATATTAATGTGAATCATGCAAATTACTTCTCTGCATGGCAATTTCTAAGCCTACATTCCTAAAAAGATACTGCTCATTGACAGATAAACATAAACGAACTGCCGCAGTTTAATCAAGTCAAAGGGAGCACCAAACGTCTCATGATAGCAGTGTCTTAACTAACTGTTGCTGAAAGTTTGTGAATGTGAAAAACGCGTAACTAACAAATTACTACTTTTACGCAACATATAAGAAGATAGAAATAACAACGCGATGGGGAAATTGCCTCGGAACGTAACTCCGGTGAACTTCCACGAAACTTTATACATAAAAAAAATAATTTTCTGAGATCTTTTGGAAACAAGCAGCAATTGAAATGATAGATATTCTTTCACATATAGACGATGCTTAGATAGCGATTACCTAATATAACTATAAAAAAAAATTTAAGTCTCAAAATCATATTTTTAGACCAGTTCTCGTCCACGATTGGAAGAAAGAAAACGAAACTGACAGTTACTTATAATCTACGGATTTTCATCAAACGATTTAATTCGAAGAGTACAGCATGACATAGCATGACATATTAATATCGTCGTTGGAGAATAGACCGGCTTGTTCTGTAGCCGATTATTATAATGCTTTTGACTGATCTGAGGATTAGTCCTTTGACCAGATTTATCCAAAACTGACGTTGAAGCTAAGTAGGTGCTGAACATACACCAATTTGTGAGATGGGGAGCACTTCCAGTCTCTATCTATACACTTCTTCATCTAGTCTGTTCTTGAAATCATTTATACTCTGAGCTTATAATTATCCACCCATTGAGAAGTGTAAACTGAGACTGGTGGAGCTCAGACTTGATTTAATAATAGTTCAATAAACTTGAATATTTGTAAAATTTTGTGTATTTCAAGTCTACCAGCTCTGCAAATGAATAGGGGCAATGTAAAATACAAATTTGAAACGAAAACTTTTATCTTCAATATAAGCTTCTCAATAACCGTGTAACATAAGTATCTCACATTAGAGGTCGCGTGTTCACTGTCCACATAGAATTTTAATCTGCAAATGAAGATAAAAAGGCCACTAAAAATGATAAAGGTCTTTACCCGGAGCATGGCCAACAACATCTACAGTATATAGTCTCTGGATGTTCAATATTGTTGCGCAATAAATAGTGATGGCAGCCACCTGTACCCTCAGTATTGTTGCGCAACCCAAAATATTGTCCAATAATATTGAGCTCCAAGCAGGATTCAATTTCGGACTGTTTGTGCTGACAAAACAATATAAAATATGTATTCGATTCCAACAGGAGTCTACGAGGTAGGTTGAAATTCGAGAAGGCGAAGAGGTTTTTAAAACTTGGACGAATTGTTAATTGTTGTTAGAACCTAGTCCCTCATACCATGATCCTCGCTTTCCTTCAGCACCTGCACGACCCTCTGTTTTCTCCAAATTCGACTCAGTCCCAATTTTATCCAATGATTTCCGTTCTTTTATACAGCTTGTGCTTGAGACATTTACTTTTTCTGTCTCCTTCTTAATCGTCAGTTACTTAAGTTCTCTGTTCTGTTTTCTCAAGTAACTGTTTGGTCATGTCCTTTTCTCGCGGTCAAACCAAATTTTTATTCTACAGCTCATACCTAATATTGTACTTTCGAGACTACAAGTGGCGATTAGAAGTAATCGCGCTGCCCGAGAGGCCTGTGTCATCGTTTCTGTTTTACGATCAGTTAATTTTAAACCAGTTCTAATATTTTAAGCTGAAATAAAAATGATTGATCGGCATATCATTTCCCAATCGCCATAGCTTCGGAACTATTTTGCATAATATCTGACGAAGCAATTGGAACTTTCCATGAGTTACATTGCCACCCGTCGAACCTTTCCGTGGCCGGTCTCTATAGATGCAATATCATGCGAGGGTAAAAACCCTTGCTGTAACAGTTTGAAATTCTATCTTTTCACATAAAATCTGAAAAATCTCGCTCCTATTAATCTCGACATCAAAGTCGAATTGCCGTTCACACTAAAGTGCCAAAACATATTTTTTGGACAGCTTCCTCCATCCCGTCTCCCGGTTTAGTTTATAGAGCCTGGGTCACGTTAGCTTGCTCGATGAAGCTGTCTATATGTTGCTATTCCTGAAGGTGATTGAATTAATTGCGTTTCATGATATTTCATTCGCAACGTAGCCACTTGTAAAAAATTATACATTACTGGACATGGTATCGTTTTAAATGAGAGACGGTTAAGCAAATGTTTTTTTCTATGCCTTAACTGCACTACAAGCATTTGAAATATTGAAAAGTATCTAATACTTTTATATTTTTTAACAAAAAAATTTCAGTTTATGCATAAAATCAAACTTTGTTCAAACAATACAACAAAAACAGACTTGAAAATGTATGTACAAACAAGCACCGGTGTGTTCAAACACAAGAAATTGCACACGGCAATGGAAACTTTTTCGCAGAATTTAATTTTCAGAAATTTTAATTATTGAGAATACAACACACTCGTATGTCGAACCTTTCATTTGCTCGCATGATTATGATTATTATTGATTTTTGTATGTCTTTCGGCCCAGTTGAATTGACCGTACTGATTCGTTAACTACCTTTAAGCATATAGGTTAAGACCCCGGCTATATAATGACCGAACTGACATCTGCTTCTAAGCAAGGATCCAGATTTAAAATCCCATTAGCAGGCTAATCATTCAACATCTTATGATCACGCAAACAGTGATCAAGCTCTTAATATTCAAATCTACATTCAGCTTTAGATTAGGTGCAACCATAATTTCTACAAAAAAGACGGTTCGGTCTGCGGTAATACTTTTCTCGTGTGGGACCACGAGTGACTGTGTGAAATTAGCAGGTACACTATATACACTTGGGCCGGGCGGAACTATGCCCGACTTATGGTGTATACACTTGGGCCGGGCGGAACTATGCCCGACTTATGGTGTCAATAAGTTTATGTGTGTTAGCGCTTAAAATAATTCCTTAAAATAAGTTTGCATAAAACGTAGAAAATCCTCAAAGCTAAAGCTACAGTAAATGTACTTACTAGCCATAAAAAGAAAACAGAAGTGCGACTCAGAACAGGCTCAGAACAGACTCCGATCGAATAAATATTGGAATTTTTTTACCTCATCAATATTACGCAAAAAAGAGACAGAGCGCAACCACTTACCTTGCACCGAAATTCGTGAGCTGAAGGAGCGTTTCGATCACTGGCTCTCAGGACCACGTCTGTTGTGCGCTTGTCTTTGTTGACAAAAGTTGAGCGCGCTGGAAGGGCAAAGCGAAATGTAGTCGAATGTTGGTTTGGGTTGCAGATTAACTGCTTCTGAGGAGTTCCACATCTTCTTTCCGTTAAAGGGGGCATTGCTTATAGATTATTCGTCACGTTTCAGCCACTTTTTAGTATTCAATAATGTCTTTGAAACTTTTCAATTGTTTTATGCAGAGTTATAGTCATCCGTTAAAGTCATCTTAGGGTTTCACACAAAAACACAATGAAACTGCCTGTGGATATAATTGATAATTATGTATCTATGCATTAATTACATATCAGGAAAATTATCAAATCTCAGTACCCAAAACGAAATTGAAAAATTTATTGTAAGGAGGCTCGTTGCAGTCCATTTATACCTACTAATAAAACTGATGCTCTGCAGATTTAAACATTACGGCATATGACCAAACACTGAAAGTTCACGCAGACGTTCCTTCCGATACACAAGAAAAAATACTTTGACACTCGCATTACCATGCGATTTTTGTGCTCCAGCAGATAATAGGCTTTATTTCTTTGTGCTCACGACATGGGTAAAAAACAGTAAAAAACATATACGATCTGCAGTTTTTACGTTTATGGTGGTCGGTCGGATCTGGTAAACTTCATTTTCATTTGCAAGACTTGCGAACTTTGATAGCAAAGCTGGCGTCGAAGCTCCACTAACTTTCCTTCTCATGCACGGCCCACCGCTGCATGGCTGGTCTCGACGATCGGTTCACGTACAGAACTAAGCGCAAAAATTACAATTAACCGCTAGGTGCAATCAGCGGAGTGCATCCAATAACTCGCGGGGTTAAAAAGTAGTAAGATTCTAAAAATAATGGCATCCATGCAAGCTACTAATGGAATTAGGAAGCTGTGCGTAGAATTCGTTTTTGCGTATGTTTCACTGAGCGCGGAATTCACCCGAGAATCTTAGAAAATATGGAAAGCGTAGCGAGAGAAGGGGGCAAATTTTTAGCAGCTACCTTAAGCATGAATTGGTTGCTGAAAGGGAGCAAACATGATTGAAAGACTACGTAGAGCGTCGCGAAATGGTAATATTGTCCGTTCAAACTAGTAAGGACTTCACACAAGTTCTCTAACGTGTACCGCAAGACACGGGCAGAAAAATTGTTCCATTTCACGTCGTTTATATATGATGAAATTAACTGTGCCTAATTTTTTTTCTAGTAAAATTATTTTATGGGTTATCTTTTTTGTGACTGTTATCGAATTTACGGACTCTTCAATGGGCATTATCTCACGAAGTTAATGTCACGATTTGAATGCATAGACTCAAGATTCGTATTTGACAATTCCAACAGACGATGAATTACACGTGACGCGAAAGCTCCTCGGATTTCCGCGCTTCGCCGCGCAAAAGACCAAACGCATCGTGGATACTCGCCAAAAAACGAGACAGGAATGCGCCTCAGTGTTCGTTGTCATCCCAGAAAGCAACGCTTTGACATCAAATATCTTGAAAGCCTGACACGCCTACGCAGGTGCCGCTTCAACGATCCTCGTCATCAATGAAACATTTTTCAGCGATCACAATCTATTACATAACACGTCAAAACAGTCATTGTGACTGAGACGATGAAGCTGTGTAATATTTTACGCAGTGTTTTACCTTCGCCATTACTACAGTCTTGCCCAAAAATTGTATCAAAAGAACATATGCATTTTTTTGTAAAGAAGTCTGAAATAATGTTTTCCAATCATAAACATAATTATAAATATTTGCTGAAAGCTTGAATTAGCACACAATGTTGCTCATAATTTTTAATTTAAATGAATATATACAGCAACGTGAATTGAAAATATTTATAGTAATTTAGTCAAGGCTAGAACGAAATAAGATGGATGAACGTTCGCAGTAACATGTAATTGCAATAATATACCAAACAAACTTTCGCAACTAAAAATTGTGCCCCACAGCGCCTGTTCTCTTTTTCGTGCATTAGTAGGCGCGTTGTTCGGGAAAGGCCCCGGCGCGAACATGCAAAGATATTAGGTATCCGTTCATGATGATCACCTTCATTCCCAGCGTCATAAGAGGAGAGTAAATTCAGAGATATTCAAAAGCCAGGACAGAACGATTAAATAATAAAATTGAATAATTGCTGTTTGTCTTTAATTTGTTTAATGAAAAGATGTCTGTGTGGAATTTTTATGTGGTAACCATTAGAGCTGAGTTTTTTAGGCAATATTCACGATGTACTTTACAGCACTGGAGTCAACGATACTGACGACTTCACCATTTCAAAGAATAGAATCTTCAGCAAGCAATTAACTTCAAAATTGAAAACTGTAAATTAATTGACCAAAAAAATGAAAGAGCAGTAACGGAAACGACTTAACACAGCTGATGCCATGACAATTCTTATCGGAAGTCATGCAGCCTCGGACTCTCCAAACCGTTTTTCCGCGCTCCTGTGTTTCAACATGGAAATCTAGGATGAGCGAACCGTTCCGCAGCCGGGGCGTCACGCGAGCTACCAAAGATTATGAAGATGTTCGTTAGCCTCAAAACCCTGACTAGGATCTCATTATTACTGGAGCATTGATTTCACGCCAAGCGTAGCACGAGAAACCTTACTATGAGCCTAATTAGTCCCAATCCTAAACGTTTCACGAGATGCGTGTTCTTCAATGCAGCATCATTTGGGAAACATCTACTTTAAAATACATAGAACTCTTAGGCGCGAGTTGTAACGAGCAAATTATTTCAAGATGTCAAAGTAAGCATACAATTTCGTTCAAAATAAATCTCCCTTTTTGTCCTGGGAAAACGTTCAATCCATCTCCAGAGTAATGATGCATCATTATATACTCTGGAGATGGATTGTGCGATATGCATCATTATTGGCATATCGCACAAAAATGCTTGAAAATTAATTCGAAACATAACTATGAAGGATGAAAACACAGTATTTTAGACATCACAAAAATTTAAAATTATTATTCTGTAAAGAAATTTTTTTTACCTACGAACTCATCCGTAAGCGACCGCTAATAAAAAGACGCTCTTATACGTAGATCGCGTATCACAAAGTGTTAACAGTGCCTGATAAACGAACCCTTGACGAAGCTGCTCTCGGTGGTAATGACTTGCACAGAGGAAAGCATAACCGTTAACCGTAGATAAAGACGCTTTCCTCGCACTGTCCCCCAAAAGGCTGGAGTCACCGATTATGTGCACGAGCGGCACCGGCATGCGAGTCTAAAATCACAGCCCGTATGAGAGCTTCAACAGGGTGGAGAATTTAGTACTACTCAGTATTTGCTAATCGTTATTAATTTCTTTTGACAGCCAACGCATATTTATTGCAATCGACATAGGGTTTGCAACGCTGAATAACTTTTCTCATCGATGGCAACTAATAACGTTATGGTAAATTGAAGCATTCGACAAATACTGATTCGTAAGTTTCAAAATAAATGAATTTACCTATCACAAAACTGCCTTGGTATTTTTAAATGCAAGGTTTAATTCTCCTAAAGATAATCAACATTCCTAACATAAGTTTGTGGGTTGCATCATGTGAGGGTTGTAATGACATTTATAGACCTAGATATCACAGTTGACAGAGTTACAACAATTGAAGATCACCTACTCGTGGGAAAGCTGTTTCCCGGAATAGAAAGCGGGCTGAGGAGCACGAACATTTAATTTCCAAAGAAAACGAATTGCTTAATCATTCATCATACACAGGTTCGTGAAAATTAGTAAAAAAAAGAAGCAGTAGACGTTAAGCTAGTAATTATTCTATGGGAAGAAATAATTAGGCTTAAATTTACGAGTCGTAACTGCTGAATAAACTATCAAGTAAACAAAATGAACTCAATTCTAGACATAAAAGTCAGATAATACACGATGCCATGAAGAAGTTTTTTTGCAGTTTAAAGTTCAAATAATGCAGTAATAATACATAATAAAACATTTCATATATCTTAGCATTTTGTACTCAGTAGGGAAAATTGCAATTAAAACCCAACCAACGAAGTGCCAACACTCTTCTATAAAACGAACGGCACATAATTTCTTGATAGCCACCTAAAAATTTTTGTCCAACAGGAATAATCTTATACTTCATGACGGATTGTGCGCATTAATTGCCCATGAAAACAACGTGAACCACAGGCTAGTGTTACGTGGTGCATGAAAGTAATACATCTCGAGTGATATTTGAAGCACGGATCGCTATAAAGCAAAAACAATTAACATCAGTCGCAGTCGAATGCACCAAGACGTTCGCTTTCCTTGAAACACGGAGCCGTGACTTGAGCTCCATCTTGCTCCACGCTTGGCTGGAGTTAGTGAGGAGCAACTTGATCGCTCAGGAGGCCTGGGCCCATGCTTTTAAAAAAAGTTAAGAGATCGTAAGTTCATCAGCCAATCATTGACGGCCTTTCAAGCAAAATCCACCAATCATAAGCAAAGAAAATAGATCGTAAATACTTAAGTTTACTTAGCGAATTTTGAAATTGTGGCCCCTGGGAGGCTGCCTATAACATTCGGTGGATCCACACGCCCAGTAGATCCACGCGCCTGCGGATCCATCCACCGGATCTCATGCAATGATCACTACGCTTCGCTGACGCTTCATGATGATCGTTACCGACGGGAAGCTCTTGCTTCCTCTAAGTCTACGCAGTAATGGAAAATAGAACATATTAAGGTAAACTTATTTCCCACTTGTATGTTTTCGAGTGGAGTACAGTCGATTTAAAAGTTTGGCTAAAATTATTGAAGTATTTTAATGATATTTGTCATATTTTGTGTTTTTGTTTAATTGAAGCCTGACACCATAAATGTATACATAGTGATAGTTGCTTTTCGGGCGAGTATCTACGATATTTATCGTAAATATAAAGATATTATCTGGACCTGGGACTACATTATCGGTGGGAGAATAGCTAGGCATGGCAAACCTGAGGAAAAGATTGAAGAAAAAATGTAATGTAACTTTTATATTCATTTGAATGTGCGACGAAAAAAGTATTTTCATTTTGAAAGTGGAAAGAGAGTTCTAGGCGTTCGGTGAATTTCGGTTCGGTGAATCATCATCTTTATTAATATGATTCGCGATAACGATAATGTAGACAGTTAGGCTGGAATGATTCTAAAATTGCAGAGATTGTAGAGCCTGAGCAACGCCGGGCTATACTGCGAAATATTTAAATGATGTGCATGAGTGCTTTGATTGACAGTAAAGCGAGCATTCCTTAATGCATACAATGCGAAATTGCAGGATCGCACCAGTGTTCCTGATACTGAAAATGTCAAGTTTGTCCGGGGGTATGGGGGGCGGGAGAACTGGTGTAAATATCGACTACAGTATATATCAGTATATCAGTGACGAGCATTGCCAGTTATTCTTCAGTAATCTCCTCATTAGTCAGCACAAGTCTGTACTTCAGGCTAGTAGAATTTCGCGAAACTTCATAAATAGAACAAAACTTAATCTCTGTTTAAAAATATGATACTAATGCTATCTTCGATTGGTGATTTTTTTTTAATAATCCACCAACTACTGTAAGTACAAGTTGGTTTATAATGCCAAAAAAATAAACATTGATAGATGTAATCTTGAAAATTCCTAGTCGCGCTTGTCACGTATCTGTTAAAAAATCCATTTTAGTGGTTTTGTTAGCTGGTAAAGTTCGATGCAGTGATAGAGCACAATGATGGCTTAGCAGTTCAAATACAATCTTTTAAGGTAATTAACAAGACTAAGAAACAGTTCCGGCAGTGAGACAATGCTTGTCTTGCGATTCTCATAAGACCTTAACAATGCTCGATTCGATCGCACGTTCAACACGCTTTAAAGAGAATGTCTGTAGCATCGGAAGTAATAGAAAAAACGCATAGTGTGGTTCTTGTTACCCGAGCGTGTCACCAGCTTAAAAATTGAACTATTTTCTAAAAATTAAATATTTTCTATAATGATTATTTTCTTCTAGTTATCTGTTCATGCTCTCCAGTCGAATTCGATAACAAAAAAATTCAAAAGAATAAAACGAGATGTGAATGGATAGTTCAAATTTAAACAGATGGACCCCTCGTGAATTTGGGGCCGTGTTGCTTTTTAAGCATTTGATTTTTTTTAAATCATAGATTTATGACGACAAATTTAATCCTTTATGAGAAGTTCTTTTCTTTTGAATAAGCACTGGAGCTGTTTTGAAACACTGAGAGCTGTACATCAAAAACACATGCCACATCAGGGAGCTGTATTCAATTCAGTGTCATTTTCAGGATCGTTTAACATTTCTTACACCTGATTACATCGCCGAGATGAAGATAACTTGTTCTAAATAGCGTTATCATACTTCTGAATCCATCGATGGAAATGAACACACGATATTCTTTTCTCTGAATTATGAGAAAAGTTAATTTTAAATAACGATAGAGCGCCTATTTCAAAGGGTTGGTTTCAGTTGCATCACGCGACGCCACAAGAACTTCTACCCGTCACACCAACACCGACCACGACTCGCGCTACACTGAACTCCTGATGCCGCGCGCATCGAGGCCGGCGTACGGATTTTCTCTGAAGCGTATTGTTTTATTCACCTAACTTTTTCTCAAACTAAATTTAAATACGAATTAGATTTTATAAATCATCGGCAAACCGCAAAAACAACTGCACCTCCGAGAATGGATGCCTTGAAATGAACGTGCATCTTCCCACTGACTTCGCTCATACAGGCACCGATTCGACACTTCAGCGAACTCGCCTGCGAACTCGCCTGCGAGCTCGAATGCAAAACCTAGCTTCTTTTTCAACTGTGGCACGCATAACTCGTTCAATTATGAACGGATTTTATTCAAATTTGGAATATACTTAATCGGTCATACAGGCCGGGTCTAAAACCGATTCGACACTTCAGCGAACTCGCCTGCGAACTCGCCTGCGAGCTCGAATGCAAAACCTAACTTCTTTTTCAACTGTGGCACGCATAACTCGTTCAATTATGAACGGATTTTATTCAAATTTGGAATATAAGTGAGGGTGCACAAGTGTGCACGAGTGTGCACGAGTGTGCACGAGTGTGCACGAGTGTGAAGCTGGATGCCATTGCAAACTTATAACACAAGGGAGGTGGTGAGTGTGCACGAGTGTGCACGAGTGAGCACGAGTGTGCACGATGCACACTCGTGCACACCCGTGCACATTCGTGCACACTCGTGCACACCCGTGCTTACTCGTGCACAAAGTATATTCCAAATTTGAATAAAATCCGTTCATAATTGAACGAGTTATGCGTGCCACAGTGGAAAAAGAAGTTAGGTTTTGCATTCGAGCTCGCAGGCGAGTTCGCTGAAGTGTCGAATCGGTGCTGAAGTGTCGAATCGGTGGGTCTAAACAAGAAGCTTGAATGTGCACTCAATTTTCAGGTAAGAAACTTGAACAATCCGGACAGAAAATTTATTGCAGACAAAAGTTGTGTTGAATAACTGATTTTATTGAATACATTCTTGTTACAAAATTAGGCATTACAACGAACTTAGTACGCAGCAAATCTTTGTTGAACGAATGCAAGAAATTATAAAGAATTTAAAGTATAATAATTGAGAAATTAGTGAATATTTGACTACGATGTTAATAGAATAGAAACATAGGAATATATGCGCAATAAATTAGATAGCGGTGAAGCCTGTTAGAATTTCGTATCTATCCTTGCCAGTTTAAGAAAATTACTTCGCACACAATCAATTCGGCAACTTTCTTCAAGCTAAATATTAAAGCGAAATTATAAGAGGAGTCAAACATACAACCTAGTATATTATATTGTGATATCGCCACGTCTAGTTAAATAAAAGAACATGAGGATGGCACAACTCAATGGGCTCAAGCTTCATAATGTACAAAAGCTAAGCTCGGCGCAATAATTCAGTCACAGGTGAGATGAAAAAAAGTGTTGTTTTTTTAATATATAATAGAAAAACTTTTATTGAATGATACATTTAAGTCAAAATGATTTATAGAGTAGGGGCAGTGTTCCACTAGTCCCTAGAACTTCTGTTAAACTTTCGATCGCTCTTGTTGCACAGGAAGGAAAAAACAGTATTTATATGTGCCATTGCAAAATTGATTTGTTTGTATGTTGACTGAAAAAAACGTACAACTTTGGTATAAATGCAATAAAGTTAGGCCACTAGAGTGAGTCTATCGTAACTTCAAGGGACACTTAACAGAAATATTAGTCAGCTTTCTGATTAATAGTGCTATGAATGTTAGCTAATAATATCTAAGGACAATCGAAATTAAATCCAACTCTATCAGAATTCTAAGAATAAATCTAACGCAATAAGTCTGTCTGGTTAAGCACAAAAGCCCTTATTTACATATCAAATGCTTTTAATTGTTCTTATACGTTATTCGAGAGGAAATAGCAAATGAATCCTGGACAGATGGTAATAACACGTCATGAAGGCTGGCAGTGAGATTCTGTGTAAATGCACGTAAAATTTCATATTTTTTATGTTCTCGCAATTCAACGAAAGTGTAACTGCTAAAAAAATGCAGCTCCGACTTATTAACCTAGGAGGATACAGATAGACAAGTTTAATGTACTACCTTTGGTGGATTTAACAGTTGTGCTGAGAATCCTGAGTGTAAATTCCCCAAAAATGCAATGAAGACTCACATTGCTAAGATCAGGGACAAAAGAACAGATTTTTTTTCTAACATTCATGCCTTTTCTCTGCCTGAAAAGTAGAGTCAAGAATCTAAGATTGGATCAATAATGTCATTGGCAAACAAGCTATAGTTAATTGATTCCTGAGACGTTCTAACAATCATTATCGCTGAGTAGAGCTAGGTCACGTTCCTTCATAACAAAACGTTGCTTCGTCTTCTTTGGAGCCTGGACCAAGCCTAATAAACCGTAAGTCCTAACTGAACCCATTAAAAGTTACCGTCAATGAATCAAGAAAAAATAAATCCGTTAGAAGTCGTTACAAAGGTATAAGCAGAATAAAACCCGGCTTCAAAATAATTAAAAGTAAAAAATAGTTGGAAAGTTCCTGAAATCAACAGTAATTTAAATTATTTTACCACGAAAAATATATCGATATAAGTTAATATTTGTCAGGCGTATTCTCATAGAGCGTGGCGTTGCAACAAATTATTTTGAGTCTGTACGATAAATATTACGTATACTTACGTTACCGAAACTTTTGTGACATGCATGTTTGTAAAACTTTGCAATTTGTAGGTTGACTGAGATAGAGAAGGAAATTTTACTTCGCTTGGAACACATTAATAATTGTGACTATTGTCTGCAGACGTACAGGTTGTTCAGAAAACGTTAATCTCGCAGAATGCATGATGTAGAGCACATTTTTTCTGGTGACTCTATCGTCTGCCAGACGTACAAGTTGTGTAGAACTCGGCTTTCTGGAGGATGTATGAGTGGTACTCAACCATGCTCTCCTCCATCACACGCAACTCGCTCTCGTAACTCTCTATGGAGACCTCGTTCTTGCTGAAAATTTCTTGCAGGTCTGAAAATAATGCAAAGAATTAGGCAAATGCGGACGCTATCTTTCTCTATATATAAACAGCGATTATTCTGCAGGATCATGATCCCGACTTGAGTCTAATATAAGTTCAATATTGAGAGAAATGTGTAAGACTTTGTCCAATTTGTGCTGTACTGTGGGTCATCGTGAGACAGTTTGGCCTGGCAAAAAGGGCGTATCAGTGCTACGTGCAGAAAATTAGTCACTATTTGGACAATATGACCCATCCATTTTCGTGTGTGAAAATTGCCACAGCTTGGCATAAACGACTGAAAAGCACAAGATTTAGACGATCATTTGAGAGCACTCACCCTGCAGAAGTTTGATCCCTTGAGAGCACTCACCCTGCAGCAGTTTGATCCCTTGAGAGCACTCACCCTGCAGCAGTTTGATCCCTTGAGAGCACTCACCCTGCAGCAGTTTGAGTTGGTTGAAGGTTTCTGAAGCGAGTTTGTTGGCTCTTTCTTTTAGGGCATCAGCTCTTCTCCTGGCCTCTTCGGCAGAGCTGGACTTCGATTCCAAGATCCTGATAACTTCTTGATAGCGCTGAAAAAACAACAAAAATAACTCTCCATCATAGTAAGCAAATTGAGATTTAGAGATAATTCAAATGTTTTCTTTATCAACGTGGAATTCGATTTGAATAACATGGATTTTTACTGCACTCGGTGATTAAAAATTGGAACCAATAGTATGTCAATGGCATGTTTCATTACGGTACCAAAAAAATAGACTAAAGTTAGCTTTATAACAGGCTACTCAGTCGACTTGATAACTTGCGGTTACTTGATAACGAGCAACTTACATCTTCAAGATTCGTCGCATCATGGGAGGCTTTTTGAGCCTTGACTGTGGCCTCATCCACGGCATTCCTGGTGTCCTCGAGATGTCGCTGGTTGATCTTATATTGCTGCTTGACCTGAGTGAGCCGCCCCTCGAGGTTCTCGACCTCCTGAAGGGAGGTGGTGGCACGACGGTCCGCTGCTTCAGTTTCGACGGCGATTTGGCTGAGGTCGGCCTCGGTGGCGCTGATGTCGTCCGTGGCGCCGCTGATGGCAGTTTCAGCGGCATCTTGCGCCTCCCGAGCACTTTGAAGGGCGTCGTCGACGCGCAATGCAACATCCAAAGTTTCCTCCGCCTTCACACGAGCCTCGTCCGCACGTTCTATTTATAAAGAAAAATTTTACTCATAGGTTTAAAAATATCTTCGATTACTCGATCTAATGCCCCGGTCACATTAAAAACTAAACATACTTTATGCTATTGTTGAGTTGAACTGAGAAGAAATGTTAGGGTTTAAAATTTTTGTATTCTGTTTGGTTGATATTTACAATGGCTTATTTCGTAATTTGATTTAGAATTTCTGAAATTTTTACCCTTGAGTCGAGTTGCGGTCAGGAGATCATTCCTAGTGGCGTCAATGATGGTCTGGATGTTGGTGAGAGAGTCGATGGTTTTGGAAATTCTCGTCGCGAGCTCCGTGATTTGCTCTGGCTTGAGCTTAATGTCCAGTAATTTGGTCTGCACGCAGTGACATGAATCGTAAAATATATGTTAAAATGTTATCCTAATGTAAAAATATGTTAAACACGAGTTATGCATCTGTGAAAAATACTAAAAATAAATTGTTGTCTTACAGCCATTTACAGCAAATAAATTGTTTTCTTACAGCCATTCATGCCTCATACAATCAGTTAATACTAGCCTAATTATGAAACAGAAGCATCAATATGTGATGCTTGAATAATAGTGGAAAATATAATATCAAAAGGCGGAATATATTTTAGCTGGTTTGTCGAAAGACGTAAACAAAACCCATCTTGTTACACCAGAAAACCTGGGACAAACGAATCCAATTTGGGCCAATCAGTGATGAATAAAAGCTGCCCACCTCTTCAGCAAGTGTACGTATGCCATCAGGCGTAGCCGCAGGGCTCTCAAAGTAGTCGGTGATGTTGCGTAGCAGTTCAGCAAGAGCCATTTTGTAGGCATCGGTTTCATTTCTTGACATGAGACTGGCGTCATAAGCCATCTGCGCCAAGGCTTTGGCTTCATCCGACTGTCTCTTGACGCCAGAGATGCCTCGAAGCAGGTTGTCGGTGGCGGCTTCCTTGCTTTTTAGTGTCGTCTCGGCATCAGTGGCGAACTTGAGAGTAAGACGAGACTTTTGCACGAGGCCTTCAGTGCAGGCGAGCTCGCCACACGTACCACACCCGGCACCTCCGCACAGACTGTCGCAAGGGTCACCGCGTTTGTCGCACACCTTGGAATATATATTTGATTACACTAACTAATTTATCAAAAATGTATTAGATGAGTTCAGAGCTGCACATTAAAGATTTTTTATTTAAAACCACTAAAAACTGAGACGCATTCGTAAACTGGGATCAGTTAAGAATGTATCGTAAAAATAAATCAATTGAACTTCAAAACATCATCAGACTTAAATGAATGAAATTGATAGTCCTAAACAAAATATGAAAATTTCAGCCCTCTGTGGCAATTCACCTTTTCGTTGAGGTCAGGCATGGCAGTTTTCATGGCATCAAGGCGCATCGAAAGTTTATCGAGCATCTCATCGTTGTTCTTGGGATTGTTTTGGAAGGAGTAAGCGTTGTGCAGGAGCTTGAGCTCCGTGCGCTTGCGGTTACGACGCGACTCTTGCAAGATGCTCTCCGTGGACAGCGCGCGCTCCTCCGCTTTCTTCGAACGCTCGTTCGCGTTGCGCGTCAAGTTGAGAGCCCCTAGACAATGTCAAATTTTATAGTATGAACATTCAAGATATTATATCAATGGATTAAAAATGTTATTTTCGTTAAATTCATCTACGTGTAATGTTTCAAGAATAAATGCAAGCGTAAAAAGTAAAGTCATTTCTCCATTTCCTGGCACAGTGGATAATTTTATCCATCTATGGGCGTCTTAAATCTATTTTTATCTATTTTTATTCCTATTTATCTGAAATGTCAGAACCTAATAAAGATACGTATAGTGTTCCAGAACATTTCTGACCAATTCCATCCCCAGACCCCAATCGTGAATACAATTAAAACGTATAAAGTTAGTTCAGCAACGAAGGTTGAGAGCGCGACACCAACCCTCAACATTTGCCTCCTGCAGCTTCGTGGCTTTGCTCTTGAGGTCTCCAGCTTCGTTCCTGAGGAGCTCCGCTTGGTCGCGCAGCGTCACCAGGGAGTTCTTGGCGAGGCTGATACGCTGGGTTGTGTTATCTACGGCCGTCTCTAGGCCGGCCAACTCTTGGCTGCGACTGTCTAATTCACCGCTGTAACAACCATGTGAATTACGTAATATATTTTTCCTGGATAATTTATAAAGTCTGTGAATTTCACTTTAAAAAATCAAAGAAGTACCGTCCATTGTCGGTATCATAGCACCGGGAAACCAAAATAAAGTGCACGCGAATTAGATTTTATCGCCCGTATGTAATGACATCATATTAAAGGGTTTATATTGAAGTATCTAAAATTGAATTTGTAAAACATACCATACGTCACTACTTAGCATGAAAGGCCTCGACAATCTCAATGCAGAATTACGGAAATATAAAGATCGATTACAAGGCTTAACGCTCTAACATGTTTATAGTATAGTATAGTATCTTCGGCATTGAAGAATAGGCCTGTCGCCGATCAATTAATCATTTTTAATCGCGACTAAAAATCTCACGTGAGTTTATCGATGAGTTCCTGTAGAGCGACGAGGTCCTGAGAGGTGGTGTTGGCAGTCAGCAGGATGTTGCGCACGTCTTCTATCTTGTCCTCCATGGACTCGAACTCGTTGCTGTACGCGCCCGTAGCGCCGCTCCGGCGAATCTGACTGGCGGACTCAATCAACGCGGCCGTGCGATCTGAGATACGTACATGCGAAATAGTTTAATAACTCCAATGGACAAAAATAACTCTCTTATATATGAATAAAACTCCTATTTATAAATAACACTGCTATTTATAAATAACACTCATATATAAAAAACACTCCTACATATGAATTACACTCCTATGTATAAATAACACTGCTATATATAAATAACTAAAAAATTGGCTTTTTAGTTTTGATAAGTAATCACTGGAGAAAGAAGCTAAAAATTTTACTGGAAATTATATTAGTCGATGCTATTTCATGTCTAATGCAAAAATTAAAAAAATTTCAACTCTCGGATAAGTATGTACCTTTGTTTAATATATCAGAGAAGATCGTAAGTAAGAAAGAAGAAAAAAAAGGAGTTATAACAAAAAAATAACTTGGCATAAGATGGCGAATTCATAGTAATTAAGTTACGCAAGTAAGCGAATTAATTAAGACTGCATTCAGAACGTTTTACCTTGGTCATGTAAGAACGTCTTCATTATTGAGCTGGTCAAGTATGAAGTGTAGAAATAAAAGCTTACCTTTAAGCTGGTCAAGTATGAAGTGTAGAAATAAAAGCTTACCTTTAAGCTGGTCAAGTATAAAGTCTAGAAGTAAAACCTAACCTTTAAGCTGGTCAAGTATAAAGTGTAGAAGTAAAACCTGACCTTTAAGCTGGTCAAGTATGAAGTCTAGAAGTAAAACCTTACCTTTAAGCTGGTCAAGTATAAAGTGTAGAAGTAAAACCTAACCTTTAAGCTGGTCAAGTATAAAGTCTAGAAGTAAAACCTAACCTTTAAGCTGGTCAAGTATAAAGTCTAGAAGTAAAACCTGACCTTTAAGCTGGTCAAGTATAAAGTCAAGAAGTAAAACCTAACCTTTAAGCTGGTCAAGTATAAAGTCCCAGTTGTCGAAGCACTCGCCACAAGGCTGGCAGTGAGGCGCCTGGCCGCTGTAGCCACGGGCGCAGCGATCACACTTGTCGCCGCCGATGCCTTCGTTGCACTCGCACTTGCCGGTCTCGGGGTGACACTGGTGGTTAGACGAGCCCTCGTGGTTGCAGTTGCATGCTGAGGAAAATAATTAATTTAATGACACGATTGAGGTTTTCCAGTAAAATAAATAATTTATTGGCAATATTAGTATTATCAAATATTATTAAATAATTAATTTAATTGAGGTTTTCCATAGTCATATAAAATTTATTGAATGCATTCAATATTTATTAATATTTTATTTAATTAGCAAAATTATGTTAATTTTGATAAATTTTCATTACAATCAATAAATTAAAAAAATTACCATTACCGATCTCATTTTTTTATCAAAGCAGCGTTTATTATATTTTATCGTTTATTTTTATTTTTTTTAACTTAGATTAATTTTTCTCGAAAACAGTTGATTTTATGACTTACGTAAGCAAGTCTTGCGTGGGTCGCCGAAGAAGTAAGTCTGGCACTGATTGCAGCGGCGGCCACCGAAGCCTTCCCGGCACTGGCACTGGCCGTCGAACTGAAAGAAATACTCATTGTTACGATGTCAAATTAAATAATTTTATCTGGAAAATACAATTACACTGGCCGCAAGGAGCAGAAATTTCAATTGCAGATACTCTGCGATTGAGAAATTGCGAAGTTTCAAATAAACTACAGAAAATTGAACAAAGTGACTCATAAGTATTTCAATTATAATCACGTTCGAAGCAGAAAGCAAAAATACGTTTTGGCCGAATTATCGGCACTTGTCTCAATCGAATTTCGCTTCTTTTCAGACGTCTTGCTAATAAAAAAATGACATGATCCCTTTGGTGAATTTAAAAAGGAAAATTTTACATGTTAAAAATATAAAGAGAAGCCTCTAGTCATCATGAAAAGGATTACGCATAAGCAGTGACCTCATTGCATTGGTCAGAGATGGAGCCGACGAGATCACAGTCACATTTCTCGCAGCCCTTGCCAGAGGCGATCTTCCAGTGGTTAGGAGCACAGCTCCTGCACTCCTGGCCTATCACGTTAGGGTGACATGGGCACTGGCCCGTTATGTGGTCGCATTCATCGTTACGACTGCCGAGTAAGTCACAGCGACATTCTGCAATCAAACGAAAGAAATAAAATTACAACATTCATCGTTAAATTTTTTGTTTGGACATTTATCGTTACGATATTTATCGTTACGACTGCCCAGTAAGTCGCAGCGACATTTTACCATCAAACGAAAGAAATATTTAATGTTAAATAAACAGCAGCACTCGTAGCACCATGAAGAATAAGTTAATGTTGGAGTAAAATTTCATTCTGCGTTATAGGGGGAGTTTAATAGTTAATCGTTGAATGAGGTATTTTCAGTTCATGAAAAGGCAACATTTTGATCAATAAATCAAAAGGTAACTGGTCTAACTTGAGCCAAATCTACTTCCGGGTTGGATGGCATTTGAGAGTTTTCATCGGTGATGAAATTAAGCTACAGTCCCACACCACTATAATTACCAACAAATAAGGTATGAACAGCGATAAAATTAGATGATAAATAATCTTCTTATGCGAGATAACGCAAATTGCTTCAATCTCAGATCTAAATAACTTTTGCATCGATTGCTCTTTCCGAACTTTTTCAAACAAAACAGCGAATGACTCAAGGAGCTAGAAATAATCAAGAAATAATTTCGAACTCTTGGGATACAAAAATGTGTAAAAGCTGCAGAGCCATTAAATTCCGACTCAGTGACACAGATTCTTGTTTTACTCAATGTTTCATATACTGACTCGTGCAGTTTCTGACAAGCGCGTCTCCGAAGTATCCAGGTTTGCAGCGACCGCAGTTTTGTCCCGACGTATCGAAGAGACACGCGAGACACTCGCCAGTCTTGCGGTCGCAGTTGCCGGGGCGAGACAGGTCGATGTTGCCATTACAGTCACAGGAGCGACACAAGCCTCCTACCAGGTCTGGCTGACCGTGGTAGTTGTCCGAGCACTCGTTGCAACGTGGGCCTGTTGTAAGTTGTCAAACATTAAAGTTAGAATATATATTTAAGATTAGGAATCCCAAAGATCCAAAGATATATATTGAATATTTACATACTTAAGATAAGGAGATCAAAAGATATATATTAAATATTTACATATTTAAGATTAGGAACTCAAAAGATAATTTTAAATTTTTAAATATTCAAGATTGGGAACTAGGATTCCCCTGTTATGTGCCGCAGGACATAAGGATAGTGATTAGCAACTGAGCCAAACAAGATGAAGGACATAAATGAGGTAGAATGAGGCAAAAATAGCAAATATTTCACAGTAATATCAGATATGATTCATTTAGAATTAACCTTCATGTAGCATCCCTTTATTTTAAATCATTTTATATTACAAAGAACACGATTTCCAGGAGATGATTATTAGGCTACCACGAAAATATTTTTACCGCCTCATATATTATTATATATATTAATATTATATATATATATATTAATCATCAAATTTCATAACAATTGCTGTGCTCACCGAGATATCCCTCCTCGCACTCGCACACCACATCCTTGGTGAAGGGGTCGAGGTAGCAGCGGGAGGCGAAGGAGTGACCTGACCCAGCGATGCCGGGGCACGGGCACTGCCGGCACGAGATGCCCACTGACAGACGAGGGTCTCCGTAGTACCCCTCCTTGCAGCTGTGGCCAGAGGGTAATGTTAGTGTTAGTGTTACGACATTCAGCGTTGTGGGTAGGGGGTAATATTAGTATTAGCGTTACGACCTTCATCGTCACGACATTCATAGATGTGGGTAGGGTAATATTAGTACTAGCGTTACGACCTTCATCGTTACGACATTCATAGATGTGGTTAGGGTAATATTAGTACTAGCGTTACGACCTTCATCGTTACGACATTCATAGATGTGGGTAGGGTAATATTAGTACTAGCGTTACGACATTCATCGTTACATTTATCGTTACGACATTCATCGTCACGACATTCATAGCTGTGGGTAGGTAATATTAGTATTAGCGCTACGACATTCATTGCTGTGGGTAGGGTGATATTAGTATATTAGCTTCGGTACAACAATGCCATCAATCACCTGTAGCACCTCGGGTTCTAAAGCTAGGGTTATAATAAATTAATATAAACTTTATATATATTATAAATAATTATAATAATAATTTAACTAATTATGAACCAAAATGAATTTAAAATGTACTCCAGAGGAAATGTATGGTTGTTTGCATTTGTACAATATTAGACAGAAGACGCAACCGATACTAAATCATTGAATTTCACAGGAGTAAGCAATGCCAGTTTTGAAGAAATGTCGGTCAATCTCTAGTAATTGCGATTAAACATGTTCTATGAAGAGCAGTTAAATAATAATATATTTATATTAAATAACGTTAATTATTTCCAACTTTAATAAGTGTCCGTCGCTTAGAACATCTGCAATGTTGCAAGCGACGTCAGCTGATATTTGTTCACAGTATCAAACTTAAAATTTTCATTAATAATAATTGCGTTCGCTAGAAATTAATGTTCTTACACAGCACAGTTAGGGCCGGCAGTGTTGCTGGCACACTTGATGCAAGCACCAGTGACAGGATCGCAGCTGTCAGCGTGACCATTACATTCACAGCGCTGACAGTTAGGGAAATTCCAGTAGCCAGGCTGACATTCGTTGCACTGTCGTCCATAGGTGTTAGGTCGACACTTGCACTTTCCTGTAACGTGCGTTTTTTTTGAGACATCAAGAGTATTGTATGGAAATTTTGTAAAATAATCAAAAATATTCAAGCAAATAATAAATAATAATCAAGCAAAGAAGATAAAGTTTTATTCACGTGTTAGGTTGCAAATGTACATTTCGTTAATTTATGAAAGTAATTCACAGATGAAAAAGCATAACTCTTTTCGACACCCAAAAGTTATACGAAAATATATCGTGACTTGCTAATTAAAAACACACACCCCCTGAACACCAGCAATCTTTAATTTAAAACGTTATTATTACAAGTCTCAACGAACCGTCGATGACGTTACAGAAGTTATCGAGGGACCCCACAGGGTTGCACTCGCAGGGGGTGCAGCCCTGAGGACCGAGCCCGTACGTTCCCGGAGTGCAGCGGTCGCAGCGCCGGCCCGCGACGTTGCGCTTGCAGTTGCACTGCCCGCCCAACTGCGAGCAGATGTTGCTCTGCGCACCCGTCTTGTCGCACTCGCATGCTGGTCGTGGTAAGATGTTCATGGTGAATATGGTGAGATGTTCATGATGAATGATGAAATGTTCATGATGAATGATGAAATCTTCAATGAAATATTTAGAGATGTTAATATACAAAATAAGAAATTATTATGAAGTGAATTGTCGTTGTAATTCGATTATCAAAGTTTTTAGAAACTTGATGATAAAATTAAGTGTAAATTATCCGAATATAGAGCATAAAAATCACGCACAATGAATAGAAGAACATATCGAAATTAAGAGAAAAAGGACTCGATATCTTCTGGTCACCATGCTTGCTGCTGTTCGTAACACAAATGTATGTACGCTTTTTATTTCTTTTAAACTACTCATGTTGAACTACTTAAGATCCAGTGTCTCGAGTGTAAAAATAACCCACAAGATAAACGACGGTAAAACAATGCTTAGTTTAACATTGAACAAGGTATAATTAACGTTGATTAACGTATAATTAACATTGAGCAACGTATAATTAACGTTGATTCAACATCAGAAGTCTCATGAGAAGAGATAATATGAGCGTACCAAAGGCCTGTCCGTAGACGTAGAAGCCGATGCTGTCGAGGTGTTCCTTTTCACAGAGCTCGGGCAGGGTCTCCGAGCTGCCGGTGTAGAAGCTATCCCTGCAGCGGTAGTACTCGAACTCTTGACGTAGGTTGTCGTTCTCCAGAGAACCCGTGTAGAACGGCAGATTTTCTGTTCTTGGTATCAACATCATCTGGAAAGAGATAGGAATTTATCGCTTCATAAGTATCGTTTTCACTCTTCACTCTTCTGAGCTATATGGGGCATAATTGAAAGAAATGCAAATTCTTCAGTTTCCATACTTGAAGCGAATCATTAATATTTTACGCCGGACTCTTATGTTCAAGTGCTTACACACATAGCAGCTAGCACCCAAAGTAACCAATCACCGCTCAGCTATTTGTTTGCTCGTGTACACACGGATTCGTGAAGATGCAGGTCCGATATAAGTATAAAATAAGTATGAGGCATGCTGCATGCATGAAAAATCTACAAATCTACAACCGCCGAGACGATGAGAGAAGAGACACAGTATTAAGTCTAAAATTAAGATTAGGATGAGGTACATGGTAGGTCTAAAATGAACAAGATATCACATGGATGCTTAAGAGTTCACTACACGCACCGAGTCGATGAGTATGGAGGCAGAGGGCAGGTCCTGCTGCGCGTTGGTGCGCCGGAACTCGACGCGCACCTTGTAGCGCTTGCCGGCCTCCAGGCACAGCGGCGGGAATAACGTCTCGTGGTACTGACCTGACGTGCAACAAAGTTGTTTAAATATAATAGAAACCGAGAAAATAATTAGATAACAGTCTTATTTACTACAAGATTTCAGAACAAATCAATTTCTCTAGGTTTCATATAAAAATGAATTAAAAACAGAAAATTCAGAGACAATATATACTAGCATTCTATTAAACGCTCACTAGATTTACGTGTTTCTATGAAAATACGTTTTAGACAAAAATACGGAATAAAGTGAATTGCCTACTGAAAATACGTTATAGATAACATTTTAATAAAATTATGAGCGTTCTTGCAAATGAAGGGTTTCATTAACAGAACTTACTGTCTCTGAGAGAAACAATCATTTGGTCGTTGATGGGCCGGACGTTCTTGCACGGGCCCGTGGGGTCAACGGGTTCAAATCTCTCGACGGTCACTTGTACGTTGTCCCAGTGGTTACGGAACTGCGGGACACGGTTAATGTTAACAGAACTGAAGGATATGGATAAGCAATGAACTACGCATTAATTCGCAGGAAAGAGAAATAATAAATGGAGCTACCGCAATGTTGAGATCAAATTAGAAGCGTTGATGATTGAACTTGATAAAAAACTAAGGAGCACGCATTAAAGACAATGGTGGAGTAATTTGTGAGTTTATAAATGCTAAGTGCATTCGGAAGTAACAATGGATCCATTTCGTCAAAGTTGCTAAATAAATTTTCTAAAAATCGTCTGCCGTTACTGCAATATTCCTCTGCAGCAAATCGTAAGACCAGCTTACATTTTCTTAGTTATTTCTATTTTCCTTCTATTGCCTAGGGTTTGTATTTGATGTCGAGCTCGTACTCCAGTCTAGTCTCGATGTTATCGATATCAAACTAGTATTTTTTACGCTATATCACCAGGGGCTCGCATTTGATAACGAGATCGTACTTCATGCTAGTCTTGATATCAAACTCACATTTTTTAGTTTATTACCTGGGGCTCGTGTTTGATAACTAGGTCGTACTCCATGCTGGTCTCAATGTTATCAATATCAAACTCGTATATTTTCAAGCTATATTACCTGGGGCTCGTATTTGATAACGAGGTCGTACTCCATGCTGGTCTCAATGTTATCAATATCAAACTCGTATATTTTTAAGCTATATTACCTGGGGCTCGTATTTGATAACGAGGTCATACTCCATGCTGGTCTCGATGTTATCGATATCAAACTCGTATATTTTTAAGCTATATTACCTGGGGCTCGTATTTGATAACGAGGTCGTACTCCATGCTGGTCTCGATGTTATCGATGTCGAACTCCAGCCTGGAGCCCTCGACGACCCTCATGAAGCCCAGCCCCGTCCACGTGCCCCTCGACCCGTCCTTGTTGCGCTCCCGCATCACCACCTGGCAGCTCTGGCGCAGCAACATAATCATTATATATCCTATAGTGATCAGAAATAGTTTAGGTGGCTATATTATACGCAGAAACACAAGCACCAAAATAAAGTCAAAATATATTTAGGTGGCTATATTATACGCAGCAACACAACCACCAAAATAAAGTCAAAATATGTTTAGATGACTATATTAATCGCAGTAACTCGATCACTAAATTAAAGTCAAACTCTGTTTAGATGGCTATATTAAACGCAGAAATGTAACCATCTGTCAACTGATAAAGATCGGGACTTGTTTAGGTAGCTACAGTATATTAAACACAGCAAGACAACCACCTAATTAAAGTCAAAATATGTTTAGATGCAACAACACAAGCACCAAATTAAAGTCAAAACCTTAGGTGCCTATATTAATCGCAGAAATGTAACCTTCTGTCTTCCGACAACGATCGGGACCTGTTTAGTTGGATGGCTTAAATATACATCAATGTTTAATATTTAAGTGCAAGCGTATTATTACAGAGTAAAAGTGCAAGCGTAGCTCACTAATGTATTGTATGAACAAATGGAATTATGTAGTAATTTAATTCTGAACAATAATGACACCGATATATTCATGCTACGATAGATGAGCCGGCTGCTGTGCACTGCAACACTGGTGAAATAACAACTACAACGTACATCCATTTATAACGATGTTTTTTTTCGCGATTAACCAAGCAGCGCACTATAACTACAGATACAAGTGAGTTAAAAAATATTTGGAGGGATTACATGTTCCTGCACAAAATCCATTAATTTCTTTAGGTTTTTCCATGCATAAATGAGCGAAAATTTTTGTGCATGTGCAATCATCTGCGACTAATCAAAATAATAAAAGTCTAAACCCAAAATCAAAAGACATAAAAGTGTAACCCCAGTTGAAAAAGTAAAGATGGCCCATGAATACATAAGTGCAAATAAATTCAAATCTGATAAAAAACATGGTTTCGAAAAATGAATATCATCGTAATGAATATAATGAAGCAATGCGATAGATTGAACTAGTTCGTTCTGAAGTTCTGAACAGACACCGCTGGAACATACGACATGATACGAGCATCCCAATGCTAAGATCGGCGCATGAGAGGCAAATGTCACTAAATGCATAATGAAAATGTGGTCAAGACTTAATTTGAACGAAAAAATGGCAAATTTGAGAAATATTATCTAGAAAATTAGCAGATAGTACAACTTAAATTATATTAGGGCAATATAAGTACGCAGAAAGTACAGTAAATTGTAGGTACTAAGTGTCAATTAGTGCGAGAAAATACTATTGCTATTAATTGCTAACTATTGCTGTTAATTGAAATTTACCACCTGAAACCCAATTGATGATACCATCGACAAAACAAGTGTTATAAAACAATCCAGTTTGTTTAATTCCTTCAAAACAAAACTAAATTAATAAACCTCAATCACCCGAGACAACTACTCATAACCACCACGAAAGTTAATTAATTTAGATAGAATTAGTATACACCAGTCCAGTCCAGTTAACGCGTCTCATAGAATACATAGACATGATCAGCGACGTACTTTACCGGACGTAGTCTTGTAGCCGAACAAACTCGCTTCGTCGCAGTAGAGCTATGAAAAGTTCGTTGTCAGTCTATGCAGTAGTTAAAATATAATGCGAATATCCATCTTAAGCTGAATTAATCGAAAATCTCAAACTGAATTTTCCCCAAACTCTAGACACCATTGAATAACAAAAGTTAGGATAACACAACTTTATCGAGTGGTCAAGTTTACGGAAGCCACGGCAAATAATAAAATTTTTACGCTTAAATGACATTCCTTATCTCAAGATTTATAAATCTACATTCATAATTATGCGTACTCAACCATTAAAGCTTCAAATCATATAGATAACTTTTGCCTCAAAATAACTAGTCTAAATAAAGGGGTAACTTTTTTCAAATAGATAATAGAGATTTTCGCTTATGCCTGTCCGTAATTGAGCATTCCATTATCACCAAATAACATTTTCTAGGTACTGCCATTATTTATAGCAGTCTCTTGATTTATAAAACCTCAATTATTAGACATAAAATTTGTAAGCTATCTCCTCAGTTATATATAAGTTGTCTTTAAAGAGCATTTGAGGCACTAACCTCCGACCCGTTGGCCAGTTCAGCCTCGTAGGTGAGGTAGTTGAGGCTAGGTACGTAGTAGCCTTCCTCAGGCTCGTCACAGCGTCTGCCTACCACGTGTGGCCGACATCTGGGGCATGAGGACATTTTTTCTCAAGTTCTCTTCAACTGCTAACAAAATGCTATAAATGTTAATTGACAATAAACGTTTTCTTTAATTGTTAATCTCATAATCCAGTGTACAGACACTAGCCACAAACTTACTTAACTAGGTTGAAGAACATTTAGGAGCTTCGACATACTGCGAGCTAATGTCTCATTTTAAAATTCCTCGTCTTTGATACACGTCTTTGACACATGCACTTATATTATTAATTTTTTCTTACACGTAAACTTGCACTACAGAGAGAGTACATCGCTGTCGTCGAAGAGGCCACCTCGACACAGCTAGGCTTCGTCTTACAGCACATAAAGTAGATAGGCTCTATATATGCTACAGATTGGCAGAAGTTCTTCCTTAATGCAAATTTGATTTAAGATCAGGGAATTATTTTTATTATTAATATATTTTTATATTGATTTCTAGAAACTTCCATAAGAAACTAATTCAACAATCAAGTTTGTTTGGTCTCACTTGCACTGTCCGGTGATGACATCACAGTCGTTGTCGAGAGAGCCGCCGCGGTCACAGTCGCAAGGTTTACAGCCGTCAGGATGGTCGCTGAGGTCGTAGTGCTGAGGCAGACACTGGTTACAGTCGCGTCCAGTCACGAACCTTTTGCACTGACATTCACCGCTGTGCACGTTACAGCCCTGATTGTTGACTGTACCCAGTCGGTTGCAGGTACAGTCTGCACAGTGATTCACAAAACTTCAGGTACGACTGTAATAAGCTGGTAGTACGACTGTAACATAGGTATAATAGTACGACTATATAAGTTAAATTTTCGATCGAAATAAAGGAAAATCTTGCATATAAAGTCTGCGAATTGAGTAAACAATTGAAATAAAAAGTTGGAGCACCATTTTCTTCATATGTGCTGGCCCAAATTTCTTTGTGCATTAGACAAACTCATTTAGCCGCAAAAGTGGAAAACAAAGAGGGAAAACATTAAAGAATGAAATGTTTTAACTTTTAAAAGAGTTAACTCAAACTTCAAATTACAAAATCAAGACAAATCTTTGACAAAATGAGAGCACTGATGATGAACATCATCAAGTACGATTACGTCGTAATTTACTTTTACGCGTTAGTTCTCTTTAAAAATAATATAATCCAAAACGACCGAATCACTGCACCGAAAACTCATGCGATTAAACAATTATATTTAAAGCAGTTGCATACGCAACGAATGAAGAACCACTATCCAGCATCAAATCATGAGACAGCTTCAGTTACCAACCTGATCCATGCGGCAATGGCACTCAATTGCTAGATTTTAAAATTGAATACAAAATCATAGAGAAACGAGATGGGGACAATGAAATTTTAAGAATTTCAAGATTGTTCCGTTAATCAGGGGGAACTTGTAACGTTGAGCACGTGACTTAACTTACCATCACCTGGTAATAAGATATATTAATGTGAAAACGGTTAATACGTTTGCAGAATTGGAACCAAGTTTGATTTGATCTACATATGTTGTCATTAAGGAAACTTTTTCGTACATAGGAGTCGCACAGCGTGCAATTTCCTGTAAACACGTTGATTGCAGATATTATTAGACCTGATTAGAGAGGACTACTTTTGTTTGATTAAAGATTTCCGTCCTACTCCTACTTTCTTTTCTAACCTTTCTTCTTGGTCTTGATGTAGTAATTTCAACCTTTAACCGAAACTGTAATCATCGATATAAGGGGGTGGCGTCGACAGGATTTATAGTTTTTGCAAGATACTAATTATTTCGACACCTGTATTGAACTATCAATCGTATGGAAATCTCGATAGAGTTTTTAATTAAACATTTTTTTAAATACTGTCAGGTTGGTTACACGAGATTTCTCGTTATCCGAGTGGTCAAGAGGCGCATAGAAAGTTCTCTACTACTACTGGCAGTTAGGCGACGAATTGACAAAGGAAAAGATACAACCATTTATGTCAACACTTATATACTTAAAGGCAGAAAACTCCCATCCTAATACAGAACTGGGCCCGGCAAAATTTGGCAACAAATCTCTAGGCTTAGCCTACCCGTATTGGCAATTCCCAACGAAGGCTACAATGCACGCTAATAGTTCAATCCTCACAATAGTACCAATGAAGGTTTCAAACCGTCGGCTTATTTAATCTTCAACGGTTCTACATATATTCCCAATTTTATGAATTTCTATCCTTATCATATCCTCCCTTGCTGGCTAAAAAAAAAAACGTCTAAGCCTAGAGTGATGATTTTTTTTTTTTTTCAACCCTACCTCCACTACAGAACCAATCGATTTTGCCACTCCTATTAACACGGTCCAATTTCTCTAGGTGCATCTATCGTGACCTACATGGCTTTCATCTCGCCACTCCTATCCCTTACTCTCGTCTCCATTTTTCGCCTCCCCTCGTTCAACACCGCTAATTTCCCTCTACCTGCGTTCTGGCCAACTTTGTTAATCCCCCCGCATATACCGCATTATAAAACAGATAGGATCCTAGAATAACACATAGAATGTAGACAGTGATAATCAACCTCAAGTACCCGAATTCTACCCCTCAACCAAAGCGACCCAAAATAATATTATATAAAAAAAATACAAAGGAAAATACACATCCACATCCTACGAAACATGTCACAATATTATCAAATCCGGAAAATCTCTCCCGCCTTCGATAATCTAGAACGACTTCTTCATTATTTCTCGGCGTTGACCTCTGGCTTACTGCTACTGACTATACGGTCAATAAATGCTATGCAGACCTCGCGCATAATCTTTTTTTAGCACGCCCGTGTACATCTTTCCTTAACTCTTCTCTCGACAACTTATATCCTCTTAATATCATAACCTATCCTTACTATCGGTCACTATCCGGCACACTCATCTCCCCCCCCTTTTAATTACTTCGATTCATCTGACTATTCAACCTTAGCAGGCCGTAACTGTTTCAGACACTCCTGTCTCCTTCCCGTCACACTCTATAATTTACAGAATCTATTTTCCCAGAAAAATCCAGAACAGAACACCGCTCCTGACATTCGGATGAGAACTATTCTAGCTTAAATCTTCCTACTCCTAATTGACATTTTTCAGATACAGAGGTACATACAAGTCTCTTATACACATCTAGATGTGTATAAGAGACAGCTATAACTCTAGTGACTATAACTCTAGTGACTNTGCGTTGCTTATCGTTCTCTCTTATTTTCGCACTTGTAAGATTTCTTACGCAATACATTTTGATTCTAATAATGCCTAACGCCGACCCCCTATAATTCGCATTTCTGCCTACAATAAATAAATAAAAAAAAACTAAACTTTCTATCATATTTCCGGCGCTGTTTAATTATTGCATGCGAGCGATTATATGTTCTTGTGAGCATTTCTTTAAAATTTTTTCGTCGGTAGTTGAAACTCCTTAACTACGGCGCGCGCTGTTCATAAAACAACTCAAAAATATAGAATATTCCTAACTTTCTCCTAAGAATAATTATCCCGAATGTGTGATACTCCAAATGTTATGCACGCGCACATTTTCACATCCTTCACATTAAACTGAAATCATGAATCTCATCGTTCCCAATTTTACTGTCGCACATCTACGACTGTCCATTTTATGGCTATGCTATTTCCCATTTCCCACGGCGCTCTCCTCTCTTTCTGTGGTCGCGCTTCCTTCCTTGCCGCAACCTCGGTTAAGTGCTTTTCTGACCATTTGAAATAGCTTCCTTCCCACAACAAAGATTGTTTGAATTGAACGCCCAACCTAAGACTTGCTTCCAATTTTGAGAGGAACTAAATTTCTACGCTTCTCGCTGAACATTTCTTCCACATTATATATACATAAGAAAAAAAAATGGTTTCTATCCCGGAGAAATTCTATCCTTACCGGCTATACCTTGAAATTTCCTTGTCATCAGATTTTATTGAAATTACCCCTCGTTTTTCTAATCTCCGCGTGGCTAGTATTTGTCTTCTAAATCAAGTACGGTTATTACTTTCGCTGCAAGTATCCCTCAAAAAAAATACTTCCCTTCGCCGGGATAAAAATCCGGAGTCCGCCCTAGTGCTTCTTAGTCAATGACCCCCTTAATTACTTGAATTCTCTTTGTTATTTTATGGCAAAAAAAAAAAAAACACATCTAAAAAATTAAAACGTCCCAGATTATTTTCCTGCTTCCGCCGGTCTGTTTCTACGTTCTATCTAATTTCCCGCAACCTCAATAATTCTTTTAACAATAGCTCACAATAACCTTCTATGCACGGAGCGCGTCATTTCCCTTCAACCTTCCTTTCCCCTTTTTCTCCCTCGCTCAATGGTGGTTCCCCACGCCCGCAAAAAAAAAAAAAATGTTCCCTCACATGAAAGAAGGAAGAAGACAAAGAAAGAACTTGCCTTCGGCGAACAGCGGCTGCCGCCCTCTGTCCCTCAACATTAACCGCCCTGCTCTAAGCCTGCTGAGATGAATTTATAAACAGAAAATAACGGACTTGTTATTTTCGGACGACCTGTCTATGTAAGTTCCTAGACGACCATTACTAATACCTTAACACCGGCGCAACTTCCCTCCTCAAACAACCGAAAGGAAAACACGCCAACGAATATTCCTGTTTCTAGTAATATTAGCTGTAAGTAGGCAACGAAGCAAAAAAAAAATATATATATAACTTGAAAAAGTTTGCTCTAGCGTCTTCACTGCCTTCAACGTATCTTATGCGAGCGCGATGAATCGTAACATTATTATTTAATTATTCTCTGTTCAATTTGCGCGAGTCCTAAACGAAAACAACCCCGGTGCTGAAACCAAAAATTCTAATTAAATGAACTACGATTTCCAATTTCGTGATTTTGCGAGCCCTGTAGTAATTGCGTCGAGTGCTATTTAGTCCATCTTTTCCTCCATACTTCCTTCACTTGGGACCTGGCCCGAATGCATACCTCCGTGCAAGCGGTAGGGCGGGTGGTGTTTTCGGAGGTTTGAAGAACCTCCCGCCGAAATTCCTATGCCCTTCCTGTTGCTTTCCATTTTCGTCTGTCGCTTAACCGCCTTTCCCGCGCTCAATCTAGTGTAGCTAATTTCTCGCAGAGCCTCAAGACTGGCGCTAACGCAGATGAGCAAAATAACAACTATATCGCAGGACATGATGCGCGGTAAGGTGCACTACCGATAATAATGTCAATTAAATACGAGTTGTTTGCGCGCCACCAGAATACGATTGATCGCGCGCCAAATACACACAAAAAAAAAAAAATATATATATATATCTAATAATCGAATACGAAGTGCCACAAAAATTACCTACACAACCAAATAGCTACTTGAATGCCTAGATAATACGAGAATCGCGCGCCAATTGAAGCTAATATCTACCTAAGTCAATTTTCTGCCAGAATTTAAATACCTAATATCGCGCGCTGACCTAGTTTATTCTAACCCAAGGGGATTGGTTTCATATTGTATCTTCGCAAATTCTACAGCGCCACTCCTTTAGTTTAGCAAGAGAAAACGAACGAGAGAGTTCTACAACACCCTAAACATCCTATAAGAAAATCCCATAGCAAGAGAATTATCGACCCAAAAAGAAAATCATATCACATGAAAATTTCAACAAAAAAAAAATATGCAAAAATTGTAATTATGGCACACAAAAATTATATCAACTGTAACAGAAAAAGAAAAAAAAGAAAACTTAATTATTACTCCAATTGTCAATTCGTCACTGCCAGTTTTTGAACCCCACACCATAGACCACTTGATTAGAGAGGTCTACTTTTGTTTGATTAAAGAATTTCGTCCTACTTCTACTTTATTATTATTATTATTTACTTTATTTACTATTATTAGTAAATACTTTATTATTACTACTTTATTTATTATTATTAATTTTTCCGACACCTGTATTGAACTATCAATCGTATGGAAATCTCGATAGAGTTTTTAATTAAACGTTTTTAAACACTGTCAGGTTGGTTGCATGGTCTTTTTCGTTATCCGAGTGGTCAAAGAGGCGCATAGAAAGTTCTCTACTACTACTGGCAGCTAGGCGACGAATTGACAAAGGAAAAAATACAAACATTTATGTCAACACTTATATACTTAAAGGCAGAAAACTCCCATCCTAATACAGAACTGGGCACGGCAAAAATTGGCAACAAATCTCTAGGCTTAGCCTACCCGTATTTGCAATTCCCAACGAAGGCTACAATGCACGCTAATATCCGCTTTTGAAGTTATTCAAACCGTCGGCTTATTTAATCTTCAACGGTTCTACATATATTCCCAATTTTATGAATTTCTATCCTTATCAGACCGATTACGGGAAAATAAGCGCGCTAAAGTTAATAAATTTAGTAGAGAACGAAGGTTAGAGTGCAAATATTAATATGTTTTGTGTAAACTGAAGCGCGCAATTATTATTATTGTGTTTAGCGATAAATTTATAATTAACGCGAAGCTGTTAATGGATTTTGGGGAATTCGATGATTAAAGCGCAACTGTTTTTTTAGGACTTAAAGGTTGGATCGCAATTGTTAATGGATTTCGGTAGCACTGAATGACAACGCGCCATTATTGCAGGACTTAAGAGAGCATTGCAAGTTAACGCGCAACTGTTAATGGATTTTTTAGTACTTGAAGGTTAGATCGCAACTGTTAATGGATTTCTGTAGCATTGAATGACAACGCGCCATTATTGCAGGACTTAAGAGAGCATTGCAAGTTAACGAACAACTGTTAAGGGGTTTTTGCTGTTAAAGGATTGGTTAAATGGAACATATAATGCGCCTCACAATCCACTGGCCACTCAGAGCGAGGTTGGTGACGGTATTCTTCTGTCCTAAGATAACCAGCGTTGAGCTCTGGAAAAGAACCACGTCTTGCTGAAATAAATTTGGGGAACGAGCAAGAAATTTGGTGCCTCTTCTCCTTTAAATAAGCGGTTTTCGACTCTGCAAAGAAACGTCAATTGAATTTATTGCGAGCCTTTTAATAAAATATTTTCCAGCTGTCTGGGGTCTCTGACATCTGAGGGATTCAAACCCAATTCATTATCTGAAGTTCGTTGTATCAGAGGGATAAAAATCTTTTCCATTTAGTCGAAGAACCCGGCATCTGAGGGCTAAAAATCATTTCCATGTGTCTGAAGTCCCTGGCATCATAGGGACTATATCATTTCCATCTTATTGAAGTTCCTCACATCATAATGCCAAAAACCTTTCGCGTATGTCTGAAGTCCGTGTTATCTGAGGGATAACAGCAACCGAGATTTCTGAAATCGCTCCCAATACTGCACTTTTCGATGCTATATAAAAATAACGTACTCACCTTGACATCCAAGAGGATTCTCGGCAGTAAAATTCCAGTAGCCTGGCTTGCAGTTGTCACACTTGAGGCCGTCGACGTTCTGCTTGCACGAGCAGCGTCCGGCCACAAGTCCTGTCTTCTCGTCCGTGTGAGACTCGCATATGCCATCGTTGAGGGAGCCTCGGGTATCACAGTTACACGCTGAAATATATTCAATATCATACTCATTAACACTTTGTAAATTAAGACACATAAATGGCACTCAAGTAAAAAGATTTCATGCAATGTAAACTAATAAAACTGTCGATGTGCAGAAGGCCGCGTGAAATAAAAAAAAACATAACTTTTTCAGATTCCCGAAAAGTCAAACATGGAGGCAAAACTACGCAATGTACGCCCACTATACATCGAAACTACGAAAAATCTGATCATCTAAGACCACCTATAAATCATTTTATACATGATCATGTAAAGAACATCATCGTAAATCATATTTAACGTGCCGAGACGACGCTAGACTCACGCTGACAGATGGCAGGGTCCCTAAGATCACGCCCCTCCTCCTGGTAGAAGTAAGGCACGCACTCCTGGCAGTTCCTGCCCTGGGTGTTGTGCGCGCATTCCTGGCACACGCCTCCTGAGATGCGGCCGGTCTCCTCGTACACTTTTGGGTCGAAGTAACACTTCGTCGAGTGGTTGTTGCAGTTGCACCCTGACAAGAGAATATTACAAATAAAATAATCTGTACACTTAACTTGGTGCTTCTCAGAAGCGCGCAATTATTATTGCTATTGTATTATGTATTGTTAGTTACTCAGATGTTTGCTTCGAAGCACCACTGTTTTCCTTCAGTATGGGACTAGTCAATCTTCATTATAGAAGTTGAAACCATGAATTTATTGTGAGGATCACAAAGCATTTACTATATTTAAGGATACAAGATAACATTCACCCGTTCATCACTCACGTTTACACGCGTTGGACTCAGTAACGACAGCAGGTCGCCATGGCAGGTCATGGTAGAAGTCCTGACATTTCTCACAGTTGAGCCCCGTAGTGTAGTGAGTGCACTCGCACCTACCATGCACCATGCCTGGTCGGTTGGGTACTCCTGGTAATGGTAGGCACCGAGACGCGTGTCCGTAGCATGAGCACGATCCTCTCACTACCATCTCGTAGATAGCGTAGTAGTACTTCTCCTGTACATGCAATCAAACCATTACAATCAAATAAATATGAATTAAGATGTATCTACGTTCATTGTGTAACAAATTCAATATTTCTGTCATTAATAGACTCGTATATGACATCACTAAGCGAGCCTCGAGTATCACAGCGGGTATGAGTTAGAGCGCTCGTTAAAATTATTCGATGACTTCATCAGGTACATTTTTAAGTCAATGAACGTCTTGTCCGTAAATTTCCCGCTACATGGAAATTAGCAATTAAATTTGAGTGTGATGCATTAGCGTAATCAACTTCTTACTGGAAACCAACCAACCTGAGCAGTTCTTTTGTACATTTCTTTTTAGAAAAAAAACACACTTTGATACGAATAAGAGATGAAACAATTATCTTGTTGTCCGGTAGTGAAAAATTGAGAAACATTTTCTCGTGTAGGCAGCTATCTACAGTAGCTTAGGCGAATAACACTTGAGAATATTTTTCATACGTAACATTCAGGGAGCTGCGTGGTGAGCGGAGATTATGGCAGAAACAAGTAAGATTGGTCGAGAGATTCATCATGAATGAACATAAATGTTGCATGCAAGCAAAATAAGACAAAATGTTGTTCTAGCGGCAAGCGCTGCAGGGCTATACACGTTTTAGAATATATGTATTATATTGAATACGTAGAAGCGAAATACACAGCGGAAAATTTATATTTTGATACAAGGAATACCTGGCAATAGTTAGATCGAACCCTTTTCCAAGACTGAAAAAAAAAATTCAAACGAAATATTGTGAACAAGCTGAAAATTTCTATAAAGTGAATTTACAAATAATAAATAATCAATATAAGAAAACAGTTAGAAATTCGTTTCACGGTTGAAGATTTCAATTTAAACCACGCTTTGAGCCGGAAACTATTATAAATAAATAAGAGAACTAAATTTAAAAAAGATATAATTTGTACCACAACATTCCGAGAAACATTTAATGTAGAGATATTATTTACCTTAATCTCAGGTCTGGTATCGAGCAGCTGGTCACCCAGCGTGTGCAGCTTGGTGAAGTTCACCCTCAGGTTGGTGATCTTCAGGAGACTCTGCACCTCGTCGCTGTATGGGTCCGTGATCGGGATGCTAGGCGGCATCACACGGAATATAACCTGCAATTTGAACCCTTGCCGTATAACCGCGTATTATTATTATTAGTGTTATATTTGCTACTATGTTATTCAAATTAGTTCTCGTATTATTAGATATTCTAGAGCTTTTCAACTAAGATAGTAACAAACTCACAGGAGTCATATAACCTGCAATTAGAATTCTTGCCGTATAGCATTGTATTAGCATTATGAGTGTTATATTTGCTGTTATGTTATTCAAATAAATTCTCGTAATATTAGATATTCTAAGGCTTTTCAACTAAGATGGTAAGCCTCTCACAGGACTCATAACCTGAAATTAGAACTCTTGCCGTATAACCGCGTATTATTATTATTAGTATTATATTTGCTGTTGTTTTATTGAAATAAATTCTCGTAGTAAAAAATATTCTTAAGCTTTTCAACCAAGATAGTAAGTCCCTCATAGTTACCGTAAGAAATAAAATGTCCACTAGTGAAGCACTGACCTCGCCCTCAGTGGATGGCTCCGTCGAGGAGTAGCGAGACTCGCACATGATGTCCGAGATGTTCGAGCGCGGGCCTTGCTTGATGCCTGGGAAGCTCTCCGCACAGTTGTACGCAAAGTACTTGTATACCTGAGACGAGGAACGTAAGTTCAAGAATGACTACCGCAGTACAGTCATAAATTTATTAAATAATTAGCTTGTTTTTACGTTTTAGAACAGCCGAACAGGTGGTGTATAATATGACGAGGAGAAGAAGACGATGAAAACAGCTCCATACTAGGATGAATAAATATTGAAAACGTAGAAAACTTTAATGGGATAACGCTTTGATTTGGGCGGTCCGAGTGTGGCAACGGCTGCGGGAACATACGACGTGAATAAGCCAGAATTTTCACGAATCTCGTGCCAGGCGCAAAAAATAACATCGACATTAAATAACGATCCAACAAAAGGAATAAATGTCATGAAAAAAGAAAGTTACGGATCGGAGAAAGAGAACGATTAAAAGAACAGAAAGGAATTTCGCTCACCTTCCAAGTTAGACCGAAATCGAAAGACCTCTCGATGAGCATGGCTGCAGGCCGGAAGGTTCTGAAGGTGATGATGAGATGAGTGAGGTGAAACTCTGCCTCCAAGTCCAGCTGAATGCTTACATTCTGCACGCCGTTCTCGCTCTGCCACCACGACCGCTGGCCAGTCCTTGAATTTTTTTTATTTATAGGATAAAATGCCTCTTTAAGGCCTGACAAGCGTAGGTCGAAAATAAAAAATTCTGTTAACACTTTACTGCACCGAAAGAAACCTACAACTTTGAAAGTCCGATAGGCAAAAATATCATTGAGGAACACCGAGCGGTATTTCAAAATGTATCCAGAGAGGTGTATTCATGCAGCAACCAACGAATCCCTAAAGGACGCGATTACTGAGTTGAAGTCATTACCTACTTAATTGAAGCCATTACTGAGATAAAGAAGTGTTTAAATTATTCAAGAATTGCAATGGAATTGCATATAGTAGCCAGAAAACGTTTCATTGGGCGAAGTCTCACCTAGGGTCGAGCCTGTCAATGATATTGTCGATGGTGTGAGAGAAGCGAGGCTTGCCGCGCTGCGCCGTCTGAGAGTCGCACCAGAAACATTTCTTGCGGTGCTGCAGGTGAGACACGATGCAGAACTTCTCCTGTGAACAAGAAACCGCATTAGCTTCAAGCTCTTAAGCCAGGAAAATAGTGATCATTAGTGCATTATAAACGCAAGACACAGGAAAAAAGTACCGAGGATGACTCGATAATTATAGTGGGTGCAAAAAAGTATCCGACCCAAAGGAAAAACTTTATTTAATTAAAGCTTAGCCAACAAAATAACACAAACAACACTATTCAAAAGTAAATTTCCATTTAAAAATGCAAATGTCATATCAAAACAACAATATAATTAAATGTCAACTTGATAATTACAACTTTCTGAAATTTATGGTTCAAAATTATAAAAGAATTTCTTTTGTATCGGAAGCTTTTTGCACCCACTGTCTAACGCTATTGTCGAGAGCGACAATAGCAGTTATATGTTCTTCAGCCACGAGTGAACTTAAAATTTCCGCGAGGAAGCTCTCCAGCAGGCACAACACTTCAGTGTACTACAAAATAGATTAAAGAACCATAACAAATTACCGTCGGAACAAATATTTCATATTGAATTTAAAAATATACCACATAAGTGAAAAGTCCTTTTGCTTCATTTGCAACTATTTCCTAGAAGTAAGACCAATTTTTATAGTCAGACGTTAATATTGTGATCATTGAAGTAAAAAAGTCTCAGTACTCGGTCCTTAATAAACTCGGTACTGAGTTAGGTTGTAGGATGTACGACTGTACGCTTTACGAGCCCCGCCCTGCCGTGACCTACAGTCTGGTCTGACAGTACGCACCGTGAAGCCCACACTAGCGCCTACACGCTTTAAATCTCGACATCGATGCAAATACCTTTACGGCGATACAGATTCTGAACGTTGTCTAATGATGGGACTTACGCTAATCTTGGCTGCTGACGTTGGAGGATATTGATTGTAAGTGTTGTCTCATGATAGGACTAATGTTAGCTAAACTTGTCTACTGATGTTGTTACTAACTATTTAGTTCAGATATACTTTAAGTCAGGGTTGAGATAAGTTTGAGAACAGGAAACGATTGCATTGATTACTGAGCAATAAAGCGTCGCAACTCATAACAATTTCGGTCTCGTTCAATTACAAATAAAACTAAATCAGTTCATATGAAACTCAGTACACATGCAAAGATAATATTTCCTTGAGCACATGAAAATATCGGCGGACAAACCCTGCTTCTGAGGCCGCAAGTTGATGTGGCGGACAGTCTATCCTGGCGACCCAGGAGAAGATTACCCGTCGCGGGGTAACAGGAGCGCCGCTCGCACGAGTTGGACACTCGTCCTGTACCGTAGTGAAGGGTCGGAGGCAAACAAAATCAATTGAGAGGTAAAGCGGATAAATATACTTGAGGACGATAGCGGATATAGTATATACTATACTAATTTAGGCAATTTCGAAATTAATTGAAGTAAAAAATTTGAGTGAAATGGGTAATTGAGTCATTCTGCCAGTGAGCTGGTAGCTTGAATTTGATAATGAGATAAATATTTTGGACTAAGTCATGAAAATAATTTGATTTTTGACAAAACCGATATTATTGAATATGGAAATAAACATCCAGAAGCAAAGAAATTCACGTAGCTCATCAATCAAATTCTTAAAATGAAATGCAAAGAGAATAATTTTTCAAGGTCTTCATGCAAAACACGAAGCAAAAATTTGTACCGATATAAATTACTAGTTACTAATACGAGACGGGAAAAAACACAGCAAGAAACAGATGACGAATGGAATATTTACTTCGAAGGATTACGTGCAAATGCAGAGTCAAGAGAAGAAGTTAAGTCTAGGATTAAATGAATTAAACAATGACAAGCCAATTTCCAAGCCTCCAATATCATGCATGTCTGCATATGAATAAGCGAGAATAAATAGCATTGCGTTTTTAGTGGCAGTGGTTTATTATGATTAGTTTTTCTTGTAAACTGAACACAAATTATTAGTTTTCAACTGAGTTGAAGTTCAATTGAGTTTAATTCACTAGAATACACAAGGAATGACTAGATTAATTTTTTAATTTCAACTCAATCTTGAAAGGCACGAGGAATTAAATAGTAGACAAACAACAAAATAAGACAAGCAAACGAAAACAGTAGACAAGCAAACTGTAAATATTTACAGTTTGCATTCATAAGGCCATAATTATGGTGGCCCATCGTTGCGCTTGACCAGCCGTCAGAGCTCGCCTGCTCATGGCGCTGCATCCAACGCGTGCTAGACCAGCCTGCGCTAGACCAGCCGTCAGAGCTCGCCTGCTCATGGCGCTGCATCCAACGTGCGCTAGACCAGCCGTCAGAGCTCGCCTGCTCATGGCGCTGCATCCAACATAAACAACGACAGCTCGAGAGGACCGTACAGACGCCAGCAGCAGAATGCGCGTCCCACGAACGCCCACAGCGGAGAAGCAGGCCTGTCTCTGCGCTAGTTACCTTATTCGGTAAGTGGAATATTAGTGAGCGATTCTTCGGCGAGACTTCGGTCACTAAATTCGGAGACTTTCAGCTATAAATTGAGTTTAGATAACAAAAACTCAGACTTTTTATTATAATTGGAGTTTTTGTGCTGACATTTGAGTAACGCGAACGTAGTAGTACATTCTAGAGTTTACAGAGACTCAAGCTTACGCGCTTGGAAAAGAAACAGCATAATATCATGTGATTTTTATTTTAAAGAATAAATTTTTAACGACGCGCTTCAATTGTTCAAAGATGATTACGACATAAGCATATCACTAAATATTGAAAACGCAATATTTTCACAATAGAGACGAATCTGATAAATTTCAACATGAGATTTTTTCAACAACTATTGCGGTAAACTAATAAAAGAAGGCACCTACGTACCTGACAACGCTTTTTTAATTAATTTTTTACAGGAGGAGTAGCCTCGCAGCGAACCCCTTAGGCAGCAGCAGGAATCAAGTTTAACGCGCTGGCGACTCGGCATAACTGGTGGCTGAAGGAAGTATTGCAATTTTCGCAGTGATAGATATATATTAATGATGATGATGATGATCAAAAATGATTTTGCGATCAAAAAATTTATGATCGAGAAATATTTTGCAACGCAAAGTGATATCCATGCTTAGATGAAAAGAGTCTAATTAAGAAAAATTTGAGTGAAAGAGAGCCTTTTATCTACGGACAGCAGCTATAGTCATCAGGCATCCAGACACAGCTAATATGTCGTCAGGTTTGTTACATTTAATTGTCTTCAGGTTTGTTACTTGTAATTTAGTTTAGGTTGGTTAAATGTAATTGGAGTAACATTATTGGAACAGCCACGATTGGAAACTTCAGGAGGATTTTTTCCAATGTTTCGGACGCAATGAGAACACAATAAGTAAAATACCGATGCTATGTCAAATTCTTTAACTCGTACCGTCATGTCCAGTGTAACAATCCTGGAAAATGAAATAAAATATTTCATGGGTGCTTATAAATGAATTTAAAAATTGCATTTTAGCATGTATTGTATATCTCCAAAATGATTATGATGATTTATCTCATGTCTAGAGGTTTGCAAGAGACTGGCAGCGCTCGGAATAAGGAAACTCTGTAGCCGTACTCGAAATAGCCCTTAAACGATAACAAGTCCATTGCGCTGCACATATACGCTGCGTTGCCTAGACATGCAGCGGCCAGCAGACGTCTCGTCCGTTGATATTGCAATTTATTTATTATTGCATGAGTTCACGCTCATCTGTACTCAGTTCACGATAACATTAAATGTGAGGCTCTGATGCACAAGATGCAAGTTATTCTATAGATATTTCTAAACAATCAAATAACGCTGTCATATTTTAAAATTGTAAAATTACTCGGTGGATCAATTCACACTTTCTTCATTGACATCGTATATTATACTATAGCTGTAGCGTATTATTATTACATATATTATGCTGGAGCGTATAAATTAATAACAATCAGAGACAGCTCCCATCGTATTTATATACCCTGCACTTATGGAGCATCGGAAGCATGAAATGCAGCTATACTGCTATACGATTTTGGCACGCACAGAGATTACTTTTTTCGGAGTTGGATCAAGGACCTCTTTTTTGGAGAATAAGTAGGCCTCTTTAAAAAAAAATCATAAATAGAATAAACAAATTATCGGTCTACGTGCCAATTTGAGTAAACGAGTATTGATAAGCACAGTACCTATACTCGTATGAGCATTCATTGATTGGTATTACATATACATGTCCTACACAGGGTCCACTAGCAAAGAATCAGGATTGATGTGTAGAAGTATTTGTACTAATAATTTAAACAATACAAACGTCAGCCCATGTAACATCTCATAGGTAGAAACAGTCAAATATTACGTACGGTTGATTAAGGCAGAGATGATCGATCATTGGATGGATACTGAAAATTTTTCAAGTGACTTGAGGGCAGTATTATGACAAATGAGGTAGAATTTATACAGCAGTTTCATATGTGGCAGAAGACCAAATTTATTTTGGTTTCATTAAGTAAAAGCAGCTAAGATTTCTTACTACTGTTGGTCAGCAGCGGTTGTTTTGTCAACCCTGTTTAGAAACCCACAAATGGCTGGGTAGTGACGGTGAGTAAACACACTCTACAGAGTTACTTAAGCGCAGATATATTTATGCGAACTTTCATATTAAAGTATTCTGTATTTAGTCCACTGTCTGGATATTTCATATTTTTGGCGGTCAATGATTTACCCCATGAAGGTAGTCCATAGAATATAAAGCTGCAGGATATTTATGCGAAAAGGCTCGATTTACCATCATGAAATTCAATAAATGGACAAGCTAACGAATTTAGCTTTTATTTTAAGAGAAATTTTGAGTGGACACAGATTGTGGTTAAAATTGGACACTGCAGTGATGGTAGTCAAAATTGGACACAGATTGTGGTCAAAATTGGACACTGATTGCGGTCGAAAAGTCTGGTCGACGTTGCAATCCAAGTGAGCAGTAGTTTTTAAAAACAATATATACATTGAGTTGGATACAAATGAGGTAAACAAGATCAATGAAGTGGAATCAGGTGCAGAGAGCAGTTCAAGGAAGGGAGGAGTCCGTCGTTCATTGCTCATTTGCTGCCGATTCTCAGCTAGAAAAGGACGTTGTTATCAACAAAAACTCTTAAAATGGCTCCTAGCGCAAACATCAGCAGTGTAGATCTACGCCTCGATCAACACTTATTTGCGGTTTATTGTAGCATGCAACTTTGGAGTTAATAGTTAAAAATGTTGATTTGCATTTCTTCGAAATCAATGCGTAAAATGTAATATTGTTATTGAATTAGCGTCCTCATGAATTAGGTAACATACTACACATTTTACTGCACTTTTGAGGACTCTAAAACTTGAATTAATAAAATCATCAACACTTAGATAATTTTAAATTATTGAGAAACCTACAAGTTACTCCTAAAAATTGAACTGAACTGCAATATTAGACAAAAATTTTCTTCATTCTACAAAAAAGAATTTTCGGGTTTTAGAGCAAAGTTAAGGGAAGATCTAAGAGTTAACATAGCAAGATAAATAGCTGTTTGATGACATTTATGCTACATACTAGCGAGATGCTCACAACAGATGGTAGCAGCACTCAGACGCCTGAATATGGCAAGGCGAGACATGTATAGCTGAGCAATTAATGCTATTGCCCGCGCACATGCATGCACGATCCAGAAATCTTCTAGAAAACACAATGGCAGGTAAGAAAATCAAATGAAACCGTTGTATTAGTCAAATAAAGGATAATTTTATTTCATTGTAAGTAGCTGATTGATAATTTTAAAAGACGAAGAAGAATTAGAAGAAGTTTCTATTTGAAGCATGCGAACGCACGTTTCCTTTATTTAAAATAAATCCCATTTTTATTTTCTGAATGTAAGACTCGACCCACACCAAGGCAGCGCACCAGCGTGAGACTACAACGTCCAGAACCCAGCAATACAAAGGAGCAATACAAGAATACCTGCCCAATAAATTCCGAGAAACATCAAATGTTGAAGAAGTCCCAACGATGATTAAAATGAAGTGGATGGAAAAAATAATCTTGTGAAAACAACGGTTTCAAATACGTAGTACATATTAGTAGACCAGACAAGTTATAGGAGTTAAACCGTTCACCCGAAATTCAGGAACATAACTCATACGCAAAAACACGAAATAGATCGCTAACAATACCTGAAGATGTTCCGTAACTGTATATCTCCAAGGGGTGCATTTTTTCTTCCTCAGACAGTTGCCGGCCCTTGGCAAATTCCGAATCGACTTCATTAACTTCTTCATAATCGTCCACAGTCTCTTCTTCTGAGACTCTGGAATAATCTGTATCTCCTGTAGGCTGGTGTTTATCGGGAAAACGAGACGACTCCCGAGATGAAGCTGGAAAGCTGTGATCGATCAAATCACCTCCAGGGAAATGAGGTAGTTGCGATGCATATGAGGTAGAATTGGTATAAGTGGAAACTCTGGTACTTCCAGGTAATACTCTCACCGTACCATTTGAACTGATGGTCGTCTTAGTGGTTTTGGCTTTTCTTGTGGTTGTAATACGACTTCCACCGACAACGTACTCTCTACCACTCCATGGGTAGGACTGCCCGCGTCTTTGGCTAGTAGTAATACCGCCTTCATCACGTGGAAATTTGTCATAAGAAAATGTCTCATCCGACGCGGTTTGATGCGACCGCCGACTGTGTTGTCGGTGTCGAGATGACTTTTTTCTGCCACGCTTGCGTCTTTTTCCTGAGCGACTGCTATCCGAAGTGTCGTCTTTGAAGCGGTTGGGCCATCGGCTTCCTCGGGATGACTGAGATACTTTCGAATGACCAGCGTTGTCAACTCCGCTAGAGTGCGGGTTGATGCGATCGAGGTCGGATGAAGTGCATTCTAGTAACAGAAAATAGGATGACTTATATAAAACGCTCTAAATGAGCACCACAGGTCTGAGAAATTCAACCGTTTGAATAGAACAAACCACGTCGTCGCATGAAGCTTAAATAGTGTTGCTATATCCTGATCTGGAACATGAATTCTGTAAATTAAAAAAAAGATACAATACAATACATAACATAAACAATACAAACAACTTACCCTGAGCATGGGACCTGAAAAAGATAAGAAACGTAAATGCACATAAAATGCAAAATGAACCGCAAGCATCATGCATCGAGCAACGGCAAGCTTGACATGAAAAAGCGAGTAAAATCAGCCAACATTCACGTGCGAGAAGCCAAGATCCTTCAGAATCTGCTTCGCAAGAGATGAGACGGAAGACAGAGAGGCGGTGTACCTGGCTGTCTAGGGGGAAATCTTTGGTTTAGGCGTTGGGGAAGTGAATCAACTTGAGGGGAAATTGGAGGAGGCTGTAGAGGGTTCGAGGGGTAAGATCGGTCCACAGGTCTGTCGATGGGTTGAGGGTAGCCCTCGGGCGGCACAATAACGTTACTGACCACGTTAACAGGTCGACCTTTTGCACTGGGGTACTGGGCATCTGCTTGTGGGTAGTCATCAACGGGGTCGTCGGTCGCCAAGCCTTTGAGATGAGGAAAACATTGCAACTGAAACACAAAGTATATGTCTGATTGTGATTATTATTTACTTAAGTAGTCAGAAAATGTAAATAAATTCTGCATAGAAATAGTTGAAAAATATCTTAATCTACACGGAAGTCATGATGCAAGACGAAGCATTTAATCTAAAATTACCGTTTATTTATTCCAATCAATATTATGTTCATTCTCAAACTTGATTTCAATCCAGGTGAATTCGTACGTTATGTAAATTTACTCCAGTCTAAAAAAATTTTCCGTCAAAATCAAGTCGACAACAGTTTTCCAATCAAGGAAATAACTCCAAAATGAACAAGATCAAAATCTCATCTCATCAAAGTTCATCTTTTAATTGCGTCCAGCAGGCACAAAGTCGCGAAGGACATGGAGGCAGTTAGTGCGTTGCGTAAGAGCGTCATTCCGCGCGCACCGCACAACTTTCTCCGGCGTACAACTCCTGCCGACGCTGCATCATGGTAGAGCTGAGGTAAATTTTGACCTCAGTATTGGCAATAAAGTTAGGAATGAATTTGTTGTGATCATGTGAAGAGTTATCGACATAGTTCAAGCATCACTGGATAGGTAGTACTACTGTCTTCATGAATTCATCCCAAAATTGTTTCTAAATTTGTGCTAATGTTTATTAACTTGAGGGCGAATCTTATCCCGCTTGACGGTACCCGCGCTAGTGTAGCAGAGCTCATTTGTTTTTGCACTGCAATCCATTAGATGCCCATCGTGTGACTTGATATATTATGCGCTTAAATTTTCGAACTTTTGACTGCTGATATAAAATAAAATGAAATCGGGTATGTGTGGCTATAAATAATTGTCAACCCGGGTAACTACACGTTAATTCGGCAGGTCCAAGGTACTTCATAGTAATAGAAATAAATAGAACTTCAGAAGCATCACTGATAACTCCAAGTTAATTATGCTTGGTAAATGTGAAGTTATTGGTTTACTGCACAAAAAGTTATGCAAGAAATTGAAGTGAAAGATAATGACGCGATACGTACTGATTGCCATCAAAATACAGATAAATGTCTAAAAGCAAACCTATATAGCAGTTTAGGATTTTCTCCCACAGTGAAAAGAATTACACTTCAACAACTCGTTCGCATTCCGTGCGTTTCTTAAGGAGATCCCTCCAAATAAAGCCAATGTAAAAGATTAGTATGAAAACTTACCACAACATTAAAGGACCTAAAAAAACCTTGCTACAACTCGTTCAATCAAGGGCCAGAGATTAAATACGTTTACTTTATTTCTTGGTCTAAATAAAAGTCAATGTAATAGGTTCATCGTCTGTCTGGTTTTTTGCAGATTTGGATGGTTTGAAAAGTACTTCAACTTCAACGGGTGCAACAGCAGCATCATTTCTCCACGCCTGGATGGGCAGCCGGAGGGAGAGCTTCTCTCCCCGTAAATTCCGGCCGGGTTTCGTCGACTACCGTGCGCCGCGTATATACGTTGGCTGTAATTACATCGGCTCTGTTGTTGTACTGAAGCAATATTACCGGTGCATACCAAGTGTCACGTAACACGGTGGCACAGAATCGATGTACTTGGCCAGAAGACGAATATTTTACAGTGTAAATACAAATACTTTCTAAAAAAAATAAAGAGATGTGTACACAAGGCTGAGCAACAACGAAGCTGTGGATGAAGGTATTTTGCTAATTAATAATTAGTTAAAAATTGAATAAACAAACATTAAATAAATAAAATAACATCAATTGCGAGATTCAGGTAGCACAAGACAGTTATCAAATGGAAATTATAGGTGACCGGCAGACATGATTTAATAACATAAACTATGCATAACTAATCTAGAATGTCAATAAACAAGTAGAAGTTAATAGCATATTACGTGATTAAACGATGAATTCACAGATTTTTCAAATTTGAAAATGTCACAATATGTTGATATTTCTAATGTGTATTGGAGCGTTCATCACACGGATCATACTGAAAATTGTACGTTGTTTTGCCTTCTTCTATTGTATCGTAAAAAGAGGCCTAAAATCTAACGCAACTAAGGTTAGGTGATCAAAACACGCCACATATCAAACCCACCAATCGGGTGCTATCGGGTGCATATATAGTGGCCTAAATCGGGTGCATAGTAGCCTAAATCGGGTGTTACGTATAATTAGGCTACTATGTGTACTTAATTAAGCGAGTTTTGATATAATGGCACCAGACCTCTCTCAAGAATAATTATTTAACTTGCGTTCAGTGAACTGGCAGCGCAGATGGTACAGACATCGCCCACGCCGGTAAAAGAATAGAATAGAAATGTCGGCACTGAAGAAATAGGCCCGTGGCCTGTTGCCGATTCTTGTACTTTTCGTGACTTGATTCATAAGGGTTCCGGCCTTTGGAACCCGATCTTTCCATAGCTGACGATTGATTGAGATAGCTGCTGGACTTATTGCCTTGTCCGTAAGGTGCTAGGCATTTTAAGACTGAACATATGCTCCTGCATTGCTTCGTCTAGTCTGTTCTTGAAGGCGTTAATATACCATGCAATGAATTAATGTGATCCCAGGACAACAACTCTTGGGCGTAAACGTCTTTACATTTCTATGGCGAACCTGGCACACTGAGGCACATGCAATCATGTTGCATTATCGCGTTGTTAGAGAGTTAAGAAAGACGCTAAACTGTGAGGAACCGTCACATTGAGATGTTTCAAACTATTGAGTACAGATTTTTCACAAACCCATGCAGTAGTTGAGTGTAGTTCACTGTCTCATCATTTGTCTGTTATTTATACAAGTTTGTACAAGGACTTTCACAAGAACTCTCTTCGCGGGCATTTCGAAATGACAAAAATATTCTATTATAGCTGCTGAAGAAGATACTGAAAAACTCAGTGGATACAACTTAATTAGCACATTCGTTTAGCATTTCTTCCATGAATTGACAGAAGGGTTTCAGGGAGAAGTAGGCTTTCGCTCATTCCGTAATCGCTTATAATTTTGTGGCTTAATTCGAACGAACATTTTTTAAAGTCGTTGAATAATAGAATAAAAATGAACAACAAAGTTGGTTGTGGCATCAAATATTACTCTGCTCCAAGATTTGTACGTCTTGGATTTCGTAGCGGGCTTCAAGTTGGAACTTTTCTGTATTCATAAATATAAGTTCGGACTTGCGTTTTCTCACAATTTGAGAAGTTACACAGCAATAAAAAATATTAAATTGTACAACAATTAAGAGGATTTACTAAACGCAGCATAAATATTTCATTTTATGATCAGCGATTCCTACAAAATGCGATGGACAATCAGATGATTGTATACCAGTGTAGTGGGTATATTATATGTACTGTATTTTTAATCATTCATGTTGTGACCATCAAGTCTTATAACATGTGATGGGACGATCGCAAAACCATGGTATTGTACTACAACCCTGAAGTTTCTTTACTTATACTGGCTTTAATAATTATAATTCATGTTGTGACCATCGCGTTTCACAACATACAGTATAATGGACAATCACAAAACATGGCATTGTACAACCCTGTAATTTGTTTACTTATACCGGCTTCAATAATTATAATTCCTACCTCGACTATCGAGTCCCACAATATGTGTGATGGACGATCGCAAAACATGGCATTGTACAATCCTGTAGTTTGTTAATTATACCATGAATTATAATTATATATTAATTATAACTCCTACTACGAGTCTACGACCATCAAGTCGCACTACTTGAGATGAGCGATGAGCGTTAAGGGCAGCATTAGCGAGGCAGCATATGTAGGCCTGCGCGGCAGACAGCGGCACGAGATTATCTGTGCCGCCCACCACGCATAAAAGCTCAGCGCACACACGCCCCTCTCAGCATCCGCTGTCAAGACCAGTTGCTCGGCATGCGTGTTTTAACCTCTACACTCAGAAAAATAATGGGGCATCTTGTCCAAGTCGTGACACACTTTCCTGCACACAGCACGAGAAGAGAGGAACGGATGGAGCACTGAAAAACACTTTTGCCGAGCCAAAGTGGGTCAGAATGACCTAGGCAAGGGCCAAAAAGTGCATCGTTATTAGGACAAAGACTTAGTCTGTTCTCTGAGTGCAGTAATATTATGGAGGAATTGGGGGCGGCCAACCAATGCTGAGCTAAATACGCCGATTGCATATATTAAAGGAATAAGATAGCACCCCACATAAAGGAGTTCATTAGGAAGTCAATGGAGAGCTAACAACAAAAATTCTTATAGGTGCGAATACCCACTTAAATCGCCTTTTTTTCATTATTATTTTATTATTATTATTAATACAGAATCGGCATAACTCAACATTGCTGACTCACCTCAAAATCACTGGCAGTTTTTAGCGCAATTTAATTTAAAATTTAACAAAAATTGTCGATATTTTTTATACTCATTAATTTTGTAAATAAACAAAGGATTGGCATATACAAAATCAATCAATTAGCGAAAATGTTCAACACGAATAATAATTTCCACGGTGTGCATGTGAGACATTAAGAACTGCATTCCATAGAATGTTCTGTATATATGCACAATATATATGAGAGAACATGTGGAATGTCAATATTCAGCAGATAGCACACATTGTTTGTTCCTTTTATTCATATACCCAGAACATATGATATCATAACAACAATCACCTAATTAACGGCATGTAATGGCAGGTATATAAAGTTTTCAACGTTCTGAATTGAAAAATTGATGTTAACTCTTCGATTTTAAGTATAAAAAATATCCCAAAGCCATAAAAAAACTGTAAAAAATGTGAATTGGTTTGGTTTTTGCCGCGCAAATTGAAAAATAACTTTAGAAACAATTTTTCCCTCTTCTGTATCAATGCACAATGCATGGAATGTTAGATACCTACATCGTAATTGTCATGACCGCAGTCCGGTACACTCGTAACTTCGTTCAATAACTATCTGAATTTATAAACAATCGAATTCCAGAATTTTCGGTGTAACTAGTCATTCAAAAAGTAATTGTGAAACACTAAAGGCATCAAATGATTAACGGGAGTTCATAACGTTAGACCACGAGCGTTCCTATAGTAAGCGGAGTTGCTTGTGTTGGCAACGACAATGCATCTAAATATCACTCGATGCATTATGCATTAACTTTTGGAACCGAATACACGCAGACGTGAAAAAATGAGCTCTGACAACAAGCATCACGATATTTTCTCACGTTATCAAATGACATCAAACACTAATAAAACTGCCTGATTCCTAATTTCATACGCTGTACATATGCATTGCAGTATAGGATAAAATAGAAATTACGTCGTTCCCACATCTTTGCAGGCATATGATATCAGTTCATTCTAGCAAGAAAAAATTTATTGTACCTGAAAGAAACTCATTAGAAACTATCATTAAAAAAACTTAGAAAACTGCTAAAAATATGAGTATGAAGCACGAGGAAAAGAAATAAACAAACAAAATCGTTTAAGAGTATGCAAGAGGGTATAGGATTTTTTTATAGCGGCCATGATGGATCTGTCAGGAGATAATCAGCGTTAGGAATGATTAATGATAATAAAAATTAATTTATCGGGGATAGTTTATTGTAATGGGAAAGATATATCATTCGACTGGTTCATATACCTAAACATTATCAAATAACGCAATTGGAAATACTCCATAGAATAGTCATGTATGACGTAAACTTTTCGTTGCCTACTTATCGTTAGTCGTTACGGTACCCATCGAAATGATGCAAGCGGTGTTCGTATTACATAACATTCGATACCCCCTACTCGATTTTCAGAACTAATATATAATCAAAACTCGCTGAATAGATCTTGATTGGTTAGAATCCTGATATAGAACAATGCAGAGGACCTGATTTCTTACAGCTGGAGCCTGGTCATATACGAAAGTGTGGAATTGAAAAGCGAATATTATATTCAAAATAAGAGAATAATTAAACAACGCTGCACACGCAATTCATGATTTCCATGTTAACAAGTCAAGCCCAAAGATTTTGATATACGCTCAATAATGAGATCGCATCTGAAAGGCTGAATGGAGTAAATACTTTTGAAAGAATCATTCAAGACAATTGAAGTTTCAAACATGAAATACTGCAACGCTTGGTAAGAGACTTTAATCAAGTAGCACTCGTTTTTACCCCCACTTAAAAAAACTAAAGTCTTAGATGCTACTATCGAATAGAAACTATAGGGAGTTTAAACTATCGTGTAATCAAGGGAACAACTGCGGGTCACGAACTAAAATCTCGGGAGCTTACGTACCCAACTAGCCCAACCCGTTTCAACTCACCTGGTGCTAGTGAAACAAACAAAAGTAGAAGAGCGACTGTAGCCCATAACGATAACAGGTTCATTTTGGACAGGTGTGTTGTCAAGCGTGATAATCTAAAACCAGATGTACAGTCTATGTGCGCTGATCCAGAGCGAATTGTTTAGGTTCGACAAACTGTTCCAAAAACAGTTACATTGTTGTGGTCACTCACTTCATTGTTTTTCACTCCTTAGACAATTATCAGAACTAACACTTGAAAATGTGTGACCAAATAATAGGATTAAATGAAATAATTAATTTCCATAGATTACCTATAATTCACTCTCACAAACAGCTGATGGTCTGAGTGCTAATGAATGAGTGCAGCACCCGCAGCACCAACGTCACCTTCCACCACCACTGCTCAGATTGCACTGGGTACCCGCAGTGACGCGGAGTCGCGGACGCCTGGCAGTCACCGTCGTCTGCCCTGGTGAGACGCGACCGAGGCACCAGCAGTTTACGCAAGGCTGTGAACGCCTATTATAGTCGTTCGGACATGAACTTATTCTATGGATCATACACGAAGCACAATTTCACGAATTACGTTTAATGAGATATCACCCATTTATATTGGTGGACATTGCCAATTTTTGTTAGCTCTGTTCTGTTGAAATATATTTTCGTACCAGAGTTTCTATCTCGAATGCCAATAGGATACTGAAATGTTTCGTTGAATATTCGATAGAGAATACAATGGTGGTGTTTAGCATTGTTATTTAACATCATAAATATTTGTATCAATCTTTAACATCTCAAATATTTTAACAACGATGCAAAAGTAGACTTTTCAGAGATTGAAACAGCAAATGGAGCAATACGGAAAAACATTTTTGTTTTAATATCTGCCGAAAATTCTGCAAATGGCCGATTTGTAATTGAATCTCGGCGCGCCCAACATGAGAAATTTGTTCAATTGCTTCAACTTACAACGATTAGTTGTTTTTGCAAGGGAGTTACTTCCTCTCAAGTAACATATTCAGGGAATCTGCTTGTATAACCGTTGAGTACAGAATGCAAGTAGAAATTTTGAATACAGTTTTCTTGAAAGAAGATGGAAGAATGTAAATTATTCATAAGCTGGTTTGAGGAAAACCAATTCAGCATGCAATAAATGTGCGAAATACATTTCAACCTTCTTTGAGGTTGATTCATTGATTTGAGTTGATCTGAAAAAAATCTTTCAAGTCCGTAACCTAGCAATTTCTTTGCCTATTTTTAATCTGCAATGATCCCTAATTTAAGTAAAATATATAAATAATAATTTCACTTAATATTTTATAAATAGCATTCAGGATTTGTTTTCTATTATAAAAGCTTGAATCAATTTAATTGGTTCATCGTCCGCCAATGCTACAGAAGGCATATTGGTGTAGTTTGCCGCCATATAGAGATTTATTTCAATCTTCAATCGTTTAACGTAGAATTTCCATTCCTACTTCAAAATAAAATTTTAATTAGTTAAGGTTAATTGTTAGCGACTGTGGCCACTGCTTTCCGGTTCGATACGCGAATAAAGAACCTTCAATTCCTCTTCCATTCGTTCGATTTGCTTTGCGAAAGTCAGGATGAATAGTTGATAATCCAAGACGACGAGTTTACGATGAAATATATTGGCATTAGCTGATGAACATCTCGCATTGTGCTGGTAGTCTCGTCTGCTCTTTGCAACTATCATGATAATTCTCTGCTTCATGACTAACATTTCTGTATTTTGTTATTAACACAGCTACAGGAACTTTAAGAATTCACAATTTTTTTTGCGCGGAGAAAACAAATCTTCCACAATTTAGAGGTCATCTTATTTAAAATATCTGTCTAAAGCACAATAAATTGATTTATTAAACAGATTTCATGATATCATGAAAAGTTTGGTACTTCATTTTAGTAATAACCTTGTCGTTTTCGTCCCGGTGGCTATAATTAGGCTTCTCATAAAGAGTTTTTCAACTATTAAGGTCAATCAGCTCACCTGGAGACTAAAATTCGAAGAAAAATTCACGAGTAATCGAATTAAGGAACTTATCACAGTTGTACTCAGGGCAACAGCCATGCCCCAGTAGCAGCTTGGTTAGCCGGAAGCGTGAGCGGCTGCGGTGCACTAGGCAGGGTCGTTAGTCTGGGCCACGATGCACTGACTATCCGTTTTATCAATGGCACATTTTTTGTTGGGAGCCTCTCCGTATAGTTTTCAGTGATGTGTTAAACATGACTTGAGTGCCGGAAGTACGGACAGATATATGGAAATGAATGCTATTGTATAATAGTCTCACTAGCTTTGGATAGTGACGACAAAAAAAAAACAAGTAAACGACTGAGAGAAATTCAAAATGCGGCATAATTTCTAGCGTTATATTTAAAATTTATATAAAAGTTGGCACATTTAGGTTTCAACGCTTCTCAAATTGAGCAGGTATGCACGAGGAAGAAACTATTTTCCGAATTTGAAATAAATTTGACGTAAGAAATTATTTAATCAAATTCCATTCAGTGATAATCCATCAGAAAGAAAAGTCGAGGCTTGAAACCAGCAAAGTTGAGATAATAAAAGCTTGCAAATTTTTATATAATATTATCGTAAGTAAGCGACTCGTGATTGAAGGATCCTGAAACGTTGTTGGTAATGATGAATAAATGCACTTCTGCATGAATGAAAATGAAGGGAATGCTAATTTCTCATATTATTATATTTATTGTACGAGTAACTCAATCGAGTTATAATAATTTTTTAAATCAGTAGCTTAATCAAGCGTTGATCTGGAAAGAAGCTTCCTGAGATTCCAGAATTATGCTCTTTTTCATCCCTTCGAGAATTTTCCAACTAAAGAAATGTAAGTGGGTGAATTCTCATATAAGATAGTTTCTTAGTCGGGACCAGCCTGTGGTTCCCAAACTTTTGCAGGCCGGTACCCCTATATAGGTTCCCCAGGGAATTCCTAGAGCCCCCACTCTCAACAGGCACATATGGAAACAACGTTACAAACACCTCTTTCAAATTCTTGATATTTGGTTTGCTGCAAAAGAGAAAGGTTGAACGCAAATGTGCAGTTCACAAATAACACCCAATTTAGTAAACCAGTATATCTTTTAGCAGTTTTAACTGTTATCAACGTGGAATGTTTCAGCAGCATTGCTCGTCGCTTTCCTCCAGTTCTTTTGAAAAAATAAAAAATAAAATAAAAAAAATCATTACGTCAGACATGGGACGGGACCGCCCACTTTGGGAACCCACTGGTCTAAAGTCTAGAGTCTAGACTCTAGACAGACGCGTGAAGGGGTAAGACAGGTGGACGACATGACTTTTGTCACGGACAATTTGACGGCCGGACTCCAAGGAATATCTCCCAATTCAATGACCAAGCAGTATCTCACAAACTAGTGAGCGCAGCTCGATGAAACTTGGTACACGTATTCATTAAGACCTAACGATGTTGCTGAGCTTGTGAAAAATCTCTCAATTTCACCTTCATTCGTGAGTCTTACTACGGTAAAACGGGCCAAAATTTGTAGTGACCAGAACATACCGGTACCTTCTTAGCTACAGAACAGATTTAAATGAAACTTTGAATACACATTCCTAACTACTAAACGGTGATGTTTAGCTCGTGTCATTTTTTTCAATTTTGCCTTCGTTTGCGAGATATACGACAATACCGAGGAACGACCTGCATTTCTGAGGCCGATTTTACGGCCGGTTATCAAATTTGCAATGACCAAGAAATATCTACCCAAGTAACGAACGGAGCAAAATGTAACTTTGTACACGTATTTGCTAGGACCTAATGGCAAGTTCAGCTCCTGAAAATTTTTTCGATTTCTCCTTCGTTCCCGACTCATACGGCAATACGTTAAATTCACTGTTGAACGTATGAATAACCATTTATATGAATAATTTGAACTTCATTGCAGATAATTGAGTGACGTGCGACATTGCAGTGACGTGCAAATTGTCGTGTTCTACTTTGGCTTCACAAGCTACCGGTAAACATCACCGTTGGGTGGGTAGGATTGTATATTCAAAATTTCGTTCAATTATGTTCATTAGTTTAAAAAAATGTCCTGATCACTGGATTTGATCGAATTTCGGCGCGTTTTGCAGTATAACCCGCGAATGAAGGTGAAATGAGAAAAAAATTTCATGAGCTAAACATCACCGTGTAGCGGATCTCCTTACCAACTATATTAATGTTCAAACTAGCGACATGGAGCAAAGAACGGTACAAGCCGTAGCGGAATAACCTCTTCTCGGGTAACACAGCATTCACGAGCTAAATCACTAGCTTCCGGGTTCTGGCATTTTGCTCGTCCTACAGTATATTGCTCGCTAAACTCGGTCACTTTACTAATAGCCGTCGCCTGAACAACACCACGCACGTCACGTCAAGCCTCTTGGTTGCTGCCCATGTAACATCACGTGCATCATCTCAACGCCCCGTGCATCTCTCCACGCCACGTGCATCTCTCAACGCCACGTGCATCTCCATGTACTCCTAGCCATGGTTAATATTAGTTCATCCATGCTCCTGGCTACCGCACTCACCAAGTGCTCCTGACACCTCGTCATCTTACGTGCCGCGGTCTCCTAGTTCGTCCCGTGGCCGCCATCATCAAGCAGGTCACATAGACTTAATATCGCTTGCCTCCAGATAAGTTTAGTGTTCATTTTAGCCAACCAATTTTTATCTCGACTGTTCTTAAAATTTCAAACTGTCTCATTCAAAACATAAATGCGGATACCGACGTTGTGAGCTTCTTTTACCGTGACACACATGCATCTATGGATCACATAATCATTTCAATGCCTGGCCAATAATGTTTTCTTGGATGGAGTCGTAACACATTTAGATGGTTAAAATTAAAGCCCCCACAGCCGTTAGCTTCTAATGAATATGTGTATCAAGTTTCATCTTGCTGCGTTCATTAGTTTGGGAGATATTCCTTGGTCATTGAATTTGGAGACCGGCCGAGAGTCCGACCGTAAAATCGTCCGACACGTACTTTTATGTATTCAATAGAATTTGAAACGAGAAACGGCAAAGCCTCACTAGCCGTACAAGACATATCGAAAGGTAATATGGTGCTTTGAAAGAAAAGAACTAAAGCTTGTACACACGTTACATTAAAAGCACGGTAGGTATTGTGGATACGTAATTGAATACGAATTTCAATTCATGCAATTTCAGAAATGACCTCGAACATTATAATTGAATGAAAATTTATGTGTTGCTTACTTAAAATTTAAGCCAATATCTTATGTATGATATTGCTGGTGTCCATGATACTTTATTTGCTCACTAAAGGACTCAAAAAATGAACTTGAGGACAACTCTATTAGAGTCATGGTGCATGATTACACTTAACAATTATTGCCGAGTGTTCAATAGATCGAACAACATGACCTAATGAGAATAAATCTGATCATTGACTTACACTTACTAATTTATAGTTTAGCTGATGAGTTCAAATTTTGGGTAAGAACTGAATACACCAAAATATGTCGGTCGTCATGGCAACGACTCTGCTGTGTGTGGACAAATGACGGGTTAATTTGATCCCTCGCCGGTTCGTCTGAGACGTTGACTTAGAACTGAAACTCTGAAACTTATGAGAAATTCTTCAATTCCATAACAAAAATTTGTGAACTACTAATTTAAACGTAATCGAAGTTGAAAACGTGATAAATTTAAATTAGATAAACAACGAAATTTGGTTAGTGTAAATAAATATTCGTGATTGTAATAGGCTATGTATACTTCTATTATTATTTCGATTCATTGGCATCCGAACTACCAGGCCGGACGGGCTTCGGAACTTGATCAGTTGATGTTGATTCTATCACGATAATTAATTACCAAATATTGTAAGTTACCGTCACTAATAATATGGCTTCATGTCAAAAACCTACTGTATTTTTAGAGATTATTTTCTGAGTGTGACTGAGAAATTTATACTCGTGTTAAACAGTAAGAGATCGTGCAACCTTATCATCCTGGCTGATGATTTACACACCCGATAGGGCGGATAGGCGATACCGTCAAGCGTCAACGACAAGGACTGCACTTACTTCGACCTCGACGCTTGCCACTATTAACTGTCTAATTCTTGATTACTTGGTCGGTGTTCGGAACTACGATTGGTTCTTTAGTATAACGTTCGATAACCATATGATTAATACGAGGAAGTTTTGATCGCGCTAGATTGAGATTCTAGAAGGATGTGGTTCAAGTTCTGCTATTAAAATAGATCGTTTCTATTGAAGGCCGTGGCCGGTGTGTCGGACTGTCGTCTGTCGGTGACTTGTTTTCTCGACTTTTGAGTGCTCAGTGCTGGCACTGCTGGGTGGCGTTATCGGCATTGCAGGTAAAGTCGGCAGTCAGGCTGTCACAGTCAGCTCTTTCAGGTTTCACAGTTTCAGCCTTCAGGTTTTGTGTTGCCAAGTTACTTGCCATTTTATAAACAATTTGCCTGTCGAAATATTAATCAACATTAACACATCTCCGGATTCGAGTAAACCATTTCGACATTTTTTTTTGAACTACACAGCTGACAGCGCCACAGCCACAGTGACACAGTCCAAAGACGTCAGACGGTCAGACCGTTCGTTGCCGTTGGAAATATTGATACCTAAATAAATGTTCATTCATAATAATTTTATGGTATCCAGTTATTTTGCGTTTCATAATCGTATAGATAAAGTTTTAATGTAAATTTTTAATTGTCCACTTAGGTATGTTAGAATGCACAACAGCACAAGATTTGACTTGCTCATCCTCAAGTTTGTTTTGTAGTATCCTCAAATGAGGCTATGAGCTATACATCCTATTTCAATAACAAGTTTGAAAAATTAAATTTTTTAGCTTTTGGTTCCTAGTCAGCAAGTTCTAAGCCTAGTAAATGCAATTCAACTGTGATTGACAGATTGAGCATTGAGGATATACATAATCCAAGATTCCAAGTAGGAACCAATCAGAAAACTGCTCTGATTATTTTCGATTTCTTTAGTTACAGTAGCTAATAAATAAGTGCACAGTTTCAGTAGCAGTAGCCAGTAGGTAGCTAATTCCAGAATAGGCTATAATGTAGTTGTAAGTTTGCCAAACATTGAATGTTCAGTCCAAAAATTTAATCCAGAAATGATTTAGTAATTTTTTTGAAAGTGTATATATAAATTGATTTTGCTCTTAACCTGAGAAGCTAGCAGCTAGGTATTAGTATTTTTGTTACCATTTACCAAGATTTTGGCCATGTTCTATATTCTATCGATTTTATCATTTTTGACTACTTGTAGAGTTGTAGTTAGGCCTATGTCTGTCACTATTATAAAACTTATACTCCTATGTGGGACATAAATGCACAATGATGTTTCTTTTCATTTTCAATGTTATATGCTATATGGTATTGATATTTGCAGTCCAAGTCTTTAGCTATTGAGACATGCTCCTCAGTCCTCATTTAACATAGTGAAATTCTTGGAAGGGAGGTACTTATGGCACTCCGCCTCTTGGTCAAGCACTGCACTGTGCAGCAATCATTGGTGACTTGCAGCAGTCTAAACCCAGCCCGGTCTAACCCCAGCTTGGTCTAATCCCAGCTCAGTCTCTCCCAGTGGAGTTTTGAAAGTAATTTTAATAAGAAAATTAGATTTGCACTGTAAAATTGCTTAATGACTTCTGTCGGTTGTCAAATTCCATCAATGATTAAAAAAATGACAATGACTTATTTTCATCGGTTGCCGAGTCATCTTTCTGGGCCCAGGCTCCCTTCCCTGAGTTTCATCCTAGGTTTCCCTTTCAAGCTTTACGGTTCATACCAGTGATACCACTGTTGGAATAAAATGTCAATAATATCACAATGAAAAATATGCACAATGTCACAACTCACAATTGAATCCATCATTCACAAGCAAATATCACAACATGGGAGTCGAGATCTTGTTGTCAAACCACGAACTGTCACATGAACGTTGACTTGGAGCCTGGCTGCTGGTCGCTGCTACTTTGTTTGGTTGCCAGAGGCATGGTTCTCGACTGTCTTCCTGTAATAAATATTCATTGCATTTTCAGATCTCCTAGTCCTATCTTTGATTTCAATTTTCTAGAATATAATTATAGTCAAATGGGGTAAGACAGGATCGCAGCCTTCATGGGGTAAGAAAGGACCAGCCCATGGCGTGCATTCTAATTGCACTGAATTTAATTGAGTTGTAGCTTAGAAGCCTATTGCATAGATACACCTTGTGATAGGTTTAGGATTTTTTAATTATTCATGGTATAGATGCTACGGGCTTGTTAGTGATTTTGGTCCTGTCTTACCCCATCTGACTATAATTTATTCTATACTATTATTAAAGTTGTGTCTTCAAAACCATGTTACATATATAACTTTGAGAATAAACTTTGTTAAATAATTTGTGGTCATTTGGATACCTTTGGATGAAATGTAATCCATATTTGCTTTATTATTCATAATATTAATATAAAATATTCAACGTTAAATTCAAACCAAACGAGTGCAAACACTTTGCAATTAATACAAATGATGATCTATAAATTCTATTTTCTTAGTTAATATTTGTGTATATTATTATAAAATGGTCTTGATATAATATTATAATGTTTTAGCTTTCAAACATTAGTACGGTAGCTTGTTTGTAGCTTTCAAACGAGCACAAACATTTTGCAATTAATGAGAATAAGATCTATAAATACAGATTTAATTTAAAGAAATCTTTGTACATATTGTTAAAATATGATCATTTTATATATTTCAGAATTTCTTTATGCAAGAACTAGAGCATGCACATATATACTGTTTGCTGCAATAGATGAGCCTTTTCAGCAGCTACAAAATGAGCAAAGAAATAGGAAAAGCCAAATTTATAGATTTATTTTATCCAGATGCTCCCCTTAAAATTGCATAGAAATTTTGTATGAATTTAATAAAAATTAGCATCGTTAAATAGTATACCTACCCATATTTGGTGTTACCTCTTCTTAGTATAATTTTTAGTTGTAAACAATTCATATTGATTCAATGATGTACAAAGAATTCTATTTATGCTTCTACTACAAACTATGGACTCCTTGTGCATCGGGAGTGCTTGCAGCCAGCCACAGCTAGTTTGTACGGTTGCCAGAGGCACTCTTCTGGAACTTCTTCCTTGTAAATATTAATTGCATTTTTGAATCGCCTAGACTGATACTATGTTAATACAGTTCACAGCCATTTATTGTGAATCACGTTCATAGTTAACAATTGATATTTGACTCCGTGTTAACTTAGGGAGCGCTCACAGCAGGCCGCAGCTAGCTCGTACGGTTGCCGAATGCACTCTTCTAGAGTTTCTTCTAGTTAAATATTTATTGCTTTTTCAGATCTCCTGTAATTGATTTCACACTTACATATGAGCAGAATGATACTATGTTAATAAGTTATATTGGTTATTTTTAACAGTGCAATTAATACAATTCACAACCATTTCTTCTGAATAAAGCTCACAGGAAATCAAATTAATCAATTGATAGTCATTTGCTTTCGACAAGCTTTTTATCTCAGAAATGGCAATGCTAGCTATCTCATTGGACAGACTGCTTTGAAACTTTGACCAATCAGCGCTGGGCATTCTCTCCTGCAGAGCGCCAACCAACCACAGCCCACAGTGGTTGACTGGAATTTGTGGGGGAAGGTTTAGTGACTTGTGGCACTCTGGATTATGACAGAGCGCTCCAATTTCACGAAAGCTTGTGTTCTTTTATATATACTATGGAATGTCACCATGCTCCTCAATGGTTTTAGTTTTGCTGTTGTAGTTCACAGTTTAAAATAGGATCATGACCTCAACTCATAAATTTATTCACTCTACTGTCTGTTGATGGTTTGATACACTCTACTGTGTTGGAGACTTTACTGTTTCAAAACTATCTCTTAAACTAGCCTCATATTCATAGATTGTTCAATTCCAAAAAGCATAAAAATTATCTGACTTCTGAGTAGAAGTTATAGAACATTTCAAGTTGATATTAGTTTTTCAAAAATATTGAAATTGGCTTCTAATTATTTGTTAATAAAATCATTAATACTCTGACTCACAATAACTCATACTGCATGAAATGGCATTATTATTGCTAAACTTATTAATCATGAGACTGTTGTGGGACAAGTGTATGAAAAATGTGGCTGTTGTTGTGTGGAAAATGAATCCTAGCTTTATGCACTGTAAGAAACTCCATAGCATTTATATATTGTTTACTAGTGGACTACTCTTTCCAAATCCTGACAAGGTAGATTAATAATTGGCCAAGCACTATTGCACATGCCTAGTCAAATCATTGTCCATTAAAATTCTTGTTGACATTTATGTCTGCTGAGTTGTTCATGTCTGTGGAGTTGTACTTTCATCTTCTGGCTAACTTATATAAATAATTGCATGTACCTATGTCATATATTGTCAGTCATAGATTGACTTGTAAAAATGACCATAATTGTTTGTGAAGAGAGGCCACTGAAAGACTTGAAAATTTGTTGTAAAGCAAAGAATTCTTCATGACATTTCTTATGCACAGACATAATGGAAGGTCAAAGCCATTTTTATTTTTCTCTCATTTCTTCCTATTTATGCTGTAATAAATCTTACAAAACTTTGTGTAGGATAAAGGTATAAAATTTTGAAACACAATCTTGGAAGCTACAATAATGTAGGAGTAACAACATCCACTATATGCCAGGTTAGATCTTAGATTTATTTTTTGAAATGTACCGGTATATATAATCAGGCTATTTAAAACAACCATCAAAAATAATCTTCATGTATTGTCCTTCCATGCAGGTTTCTGTATTTCTCAAATAAGAAGATATCTGATTTTTTATACATTTCATACAAATATACATATGTAAGTTGCATCACTTTATTAGTTGCAATTAACAAAATATGTCCTTAAACTTTTTATAACATAGTACTGGTTACTTACAAAGGTTTATTGACATTTAGTTTATCACACAAAAATATTGCTATCCAACTAAAACAATGGGTCGGAAAGTGGTGGTTGCTGCTTGCAGTCTCAACTTATGGGCATTAGACTACCACCACAATCTTGCCATGATTGTGGAATCCATTCAGCAAGCCAAGGCAAGAGGAGCTATGTACAGGACTGGCCCAGAGCTTGAAATCACGTGAGTTTGATATTAGAAATACATTATAACAGCTTTAATTTGGTTGTATTAGTGAAATGCTGACTTCCAAACTTGATTTGTGCAGAAACTTGGTTCATACAGCAGATCAGTTGTAAAGTGAACCTATTTTTCTAATCAAAATTCATGGAAAGGTCTCCCAAAAATCACCCCTAACATGAATAGGTTTAACCTAGAATAGGCTTAAATAGTTTTTTCATTAGGCATTGCAACAATTACATAAAATGTGTAATTAAATGGTTCAACCAATTGTGTATACCCTATATCTTTAGCAACAACTGGCTCTTGCTTAGTTAAATGCTGGGAGCAGTGATGGGGCTGATGCAATATTGTTTGCTTTATTTTCTTTAATTTTAATGACAAATAAAATGTTATAAACTAAGATAATTAATGGGGTTGTGCAGCAAACCTTCATCATACAGTTTAGCATTTGTTCGATCTGCCAGTTCATAAGGTGGTTTGGTGATAAGCGGGATGTTTGGAAGTTTGGGTATTCCTCAACTGTATTACATTAAGATAAATTGTTGAACCATCTTTCAACTGTAAAATTTATTTGAGATGTATAATAATGTTTGAAGACTCAATTCCTTAGATATTATTTGAATATTTTTGAATCACTCTTTGAATCCGGACTAAGTGAATTGAAATGACTAATCACACCAACATTTTGTTTTGATGAGTGTTAAACACTAACTTATTACTTGTGTGTATCTGCTATTATTTTGTTATAGTCATGGCACAAGCCTTCATGTCGACAAGCTACTGACTTAGATCATATCTTTGCAGAGGATACAGCTGTCAAGATCACTTCTATGAAAGTGACACTGTACTGCATTCATGGGAGGCATTGGCAGAGCTGCTATGCAACAGAGCCTGCTATGGCATCATTGTTGATGTGGGAATGCCAGTCAAGCATAAGAATGTACTCTACAACTGCAGGGTTATTATCCTTAATGGGTACGTTGTATCCTAAAGACCTATTATTTCCATAATGACTTGTGCATTTCTGTTCACAAGTCTTCATACATACATTATTTCTGAAATTTAAAAATACTGACTAATTTATTACTCCGAAGCATGAAGTTTAAATTGATGATTGATATCACTAGTGCTTCTGTATTTAAGTATGTGCCACTTTTGATTCAAACTTTCCTAACCTTTTCATTTCCAGCAAGTGTACGCACTAGATGCCTTGATATTTTATCATTTTTAATCTCCAAAAAATTTGTTTCAGAAAAATATTGTTCATTCGTCCCAAGTTGTTGTTGTGCAATGACGGCAATTACAGAGAACCTCGGTGGTTTGCTCCATGGACCAAGGTGAGAATTCTTATGACTTCATTTCATTGTCATAAGATTTAAATTTGCTGTTCTCATCAAGTTTAATAATTTAAAACTTCTTGTGAACAAATTTAGAGATTTTGTTGCTAAAAATTGTACTGCTACATCATTCATGGCCATTGAGTATATGCCTCTTGTTTCACAGTTGCGCACTGTGGAAGACCATTTCCTGCCACGCCTCGTGCAGCGCGTGACGGGACAGAAAACTGTCGTCTTTGGAGATGCTGTGCTCAGCACTTATGACACGTGCATTGGCTATGAAATCTGTGAAGAGCTCTGGAACCCTAGGAGGTAAGATATGTCCTGGTTATCAAAAAGAAAATGTCAAAACTTATCCTCTGTTTCTTTACCAGCTTTCTATTTTAACTTTCATGAAAATTAGTCTAGCTATTTTTGAACTGATGATATCACTTCATTTTTTATCGAGCTGTGAAACAATTTTAAAGTGTTATGGTCATAGTAGCCCTTTCTGCAGGATGGTGTATTTGATTAATATTCTTTTTAACCCTTCAATATTTTTTCAACATTTTTAAAACATTATTTTGTGTGATCAGCTCGCACATTAGCTTGTCTTTGGACGGTGTGGAGATCATCATAAACAGCTCTGGGTCGTACAGAGAGATTCGCAAGAGCTGGCAGTCTCTGGAGTACATCAAGGCTGCCTCGGCCAAGTGCGGTGGATGTTATGTCTTTGCCAACCTCAAGGGCTGTGATGGTGAGATTTTTTCTAGTACTGAATTTGTTAAGGATCTAGCAACTACGAGGTTTGTTTGTTTACAAATATTGTCTTATTTCAATTAGTTTAATTTTGATAGTTTTTTATTGTGACCTAAGGGCAATGAATCCAGTACGTTGAGCACATTTCCACACACCTAGATTATTTATAATTAGCAGGCTATTTGCATCATAAATCATTTATAACTTCTGTATAAATTTGTTTGAACTATCGACATCTTGTTCTGAGATTTTTTTGAAAGTTTGGATATTTTTATTTGACGTAAAGGCTTGCATAATTTCTTCCTGCTATCATTATTATCTTTTGCTAATAATAATTTGTTTTAACTGTGAATTATTTTTATAATGTAATGACATGCTTTATTTATTTATATATGTTTATTATCATATATGTTTATGTGTGCAGGCGACCGCGTGCACTTCTCAGGCGACGCAACGATCGCTCTGAACGGCAACGTGGTGGCCCACACTCCGCCCTTCCAGCTGTCCGAGGTGGACGTGATCACCGCCGCCGTGGACTTGGAGGACATCAGAGTCTACAGGCACATGATCGCCAGCCGCTGCCACCTGGCCGCTGAGGCTCCTGCTTACCCACGCGTTCAGGTATACCTATATGTTTACCATCTCGTTCAGGTATATACCTGCTTACCCTCGCGTTCAGGTATATGCCTGCTTACCCCCGCGCTCAGGTATATACCTACTGGCTTACGCCCGCGTTCAGGTTAGCGCCAAATTTCCAGCGGCCTAGCATAGTACAGAATTTCGAAACCGAATTTGGGAAAAATGACAATTAAAAAAAATAATAAATAATAATCTTGTAAAATTCAACTCTATGCGTCATGGTTTTAGCATTCGCCTTCATGAGTAGAGGCAATTTTTTCATTTTATATTTTTTTCATTTAGGTATACATATTTTCCACCTGTTTCCATTCTATTTTTACCTGCCTCTATTTTTTGTCTTCACCTGTCCCTATCAGGTTTAGTTCACTTTTTTTAAAGTAAGTTTGATTGAAAAACAGAAAATGCATTTTATTCATAACATATAATTGGCTTGTTCAATAATTCCTGTTATTCCTGTTGTTTGTGCAGGTGGATTTTAGCCTATCTTCAGACAACGACCTCTTCTTGCCTTCTTGTTCGCCGATATCCGTGGCCCTGCCAACGCCTGAGCAGGAGATCTTGTACGGACCAGCGTGCTGGCTATGGGACTACCTGCGCCGCTCTGGCCAGGGCGGATTCTTGCTCCCGCTGTCCGGTGGCGTGGACTCGGCATCCACGGCCACTATTGTGTACAGCATGTGCTGCCTCATTGTCAAGGCTGTGGCCGACGGCGAGCAACAGGTCCATACAAAAGCATGAAGAATGTATCTGTTTATTATTTTTCTCTGCTGAAACTAGAGAGAAGTGCAAATGTAATGTCACTGTTGGATCATTCTTTGAGCTGCGCCAGTAAAACCGGTAGCTGTGTGCACAAAGTATTTGTGAAGATGTTAGTATGCAGGTGATTTTTATAATTTGTATAACGAGCTGATGTGAAATAACAGTTGTTCTTAATTCATACAAGTAGGTATAAAAGATTACGAAACAGTTCATCGTGATGCCTGTAAGTCACAAATATTGTTTCAGACGTAAAATTAATATCTTATGAAAATAAGACTAGACAAAGCAGGATATCATGCTGCTAAAATATTTATCCTATTCCGGTGCTACAGAAATATGTGTAGAAGTCGATGACTGATTTATGACCAAAAAATATTTATGAAGATTACAATAGTTCCAAAATATTATTTGAAATTTTTAACATCTTTGTAGTAGTATAGAGCTGTTCACTCGTGAATTTAAACTGTAGTTGTAACGTTTACCATTCAATAAGTCATCGGATGCTCGGACTTTGAATTAATGTTAGTGTTGTTTTTATGTCAGGTTTTGGACGATGTGCGGCGCATTGTGTCACAGAAGGAATATGTGCCGACCGACCCCCGTCAGTTGTGTGGGCTACTCTTCCATACTGTTTACATGGCGTCCGAGAACTCGTCCCAAGAAACTAAGAAGCGAGCCAAGACTCTGGCTCAGCAGATCGGCAGGTTCGCGTCATCTTAGCTTGCATTTGTATCGTGTATATTTGTATATATTTCATTGGTGTCGTGTATATTTCAAACTGCATTTTTGTCGTATAGATTTCATACTGCATTTGTGTCGTGTAGATTTCACATTGCATTTGTGTCGTGTATATTTCAAACTGCATTTGTGTCATGTATATTTCAAACTGCATTTGTGTTGTGTAGATTTTATACTGCATTTGTGTCGTGTAGATTTCATTTTGCATTTGTGTCGTGTATTTATACGTGCATATGATTCGGCCTTTGGCTTTTCAGAATAATTCACTGTAAGACACTTGGTCATGGTTTTGAGCCCATTAATAATCAAAAATAATTTGACCATTTTTTAATATATTAACTTTTCGGCTATTCCTGTGAATGAACTTCATTCTGCTTCTCACTTTTTTTCTGTGGCATAAGACAAGTGAAGTTTCTCTTGCAAATTTAAGTTCGGGTGGTCGAGATGTTAAGATCATCAAGATTGGAGCAGAGAGTTTTGGGTTCAAAACCCGCAAGTAGCTGTGAAAGTTCTGGTCAAAATCTCCAAAATGACCGGGTAGTTTAGACAGACAACAGGCCAACATCGGCTAATCAAAAGCTGACACCACTTTCTTATTATATTATTAAATGGGCTCCCCGAACTTTATAAACACAATGTTACTAAATTTTGAGGTTCTAACGATATTATGAAACCACATTTTATTACATTAATCCTAAATGATTTTTTTGTTTCATTTGCTATTAATTTTCTTGCTCCCCTGCAGTTACCATCTGTCCATCGTGGTGGACACAGTCGTGTCGGCCATGCTAGGCGTGTTCAGCGTGTCCACCGGCCACCTGCCCAAGTTCCGCGCCTGCGGAGGATCCGAGCGAGAGAACGTCGCTCTGCAGAACGTTCAAGCCCGCGTCAGGATGATATCAGCTTACCTTTATGCTCAGGTAAACGCGATGAATACCTTCATTATTACCTTGTAAACAATGCTAAATGCTTGAAATACTGTAGAAATCTTAATGTGGCCCTCATCTAAAAATATGCTGATGGTTGTCACATGGATTTCGTTCTATTAACTTGTGCTGGAGGGGTGGATGATATGAATACTGCGGAATTTAAAAACATATTGGTAGTCAGTAGGTTATCTAGTAGTTGAACGATATATTGTAAGTTAATGATCATGTACTAATATCATCCATCTATCTATAGTTCACTTAACGTTGTAATCACTTGCGTTGGTGTTATGTTAGTTTAAATGTGTTTGGCTTATGTTTAAAGATTCAGAACGTTTTGTTATAGCGCGCATGGCGTGCACTGTGTGTGTGCGGTATTCGTGGATGAACCGTTGACTGTTGTTCCAGTTGGTGCTGTGGGTGCGGGGGCGGCCTGGAGGGTTGCTGGTACTGGGTTCAGGCAACGTGGACGAAGCTCTACGAGGCTACATGACCAAGTACGACTGCAGCTCCGCCGACATCAACCCCATTGGAGGCTTCTCCAAGGTTGACCTCAAGAACTTCCTCAGGCTCGCCGCCGAAAAGTCAGTATTTTAAGTTGTGCCTAAAGAGGATTAGTTTGAAGTGGGGAATTTTTTTCCGTTGGTAATTTTAACTTTAACAATATAACTGTATTCATCGATCGTAAGTGGTAAGTTTTTTCACTTTTCGTTCCATATTCGATTAACAGATTTTGAAATTTGTAACCTCGTGAGTGCTGGTGCCCATCAATGTATTTCAATATCATGGTAAAAACACAGTTTGAAAGTAGGACGACAAATTTTTCTATTTGACTTGAATAATTTCGTGGTGACAGGCTGCAGCTGCCTGTGCTCCTGGAGATCCTGCAGGCTGCGCCCACCGCCGAGCTCGAGCCTCTGGTTGAGGGGCGCGTGGTGCAGACTGATGAACAAGACATGGGTTTGTCCGCTGAAGTTTTATCATATATTCCATAATTTATTTGGGAGCAGTTTTCAAGTTTTAATTACTGGGGGACGTGTTTAATATGGGGCTATATCGAACGTGGTTTTCAACTGGAATTTTATCATATTTATCATCCTTCATTAGGGAGACTTTCATGTTTTATTTACTAGTGTGTTACACTTCCTAACTGTTTTTCTATTTAATTTAATGTTGAAGTTTGATTTTTTGTATTACCTTCAATTGCCTTGTAGTTTTACACTGTCACTCCACTGTTTTTTTTAGGATTTACTTCCAACAAAATTCATAGTTTGTTTCGGAACCGAAGTGTTTTGCAATCTAAGAAGAAATGAGATTCCATATTTTTTTTGGTTCGACTTTTAACAGGAAGAACCGATTAGCCGTGATCCATTCATAAGAAAATAAAATGTCATATCTCCATGTATCGATACTCGAAATTCCGACTCAACATGATCGTGATTCTTCAATATTTGAATAAATGAATGAAATAAATTAAATTAAGCATGTATTTCAGGCATGACGTACGACGAGCTGTCGCAGTACGGCAAGCTACGCAAGGTAGAAGGCTGTGGCCCCTACTCCATGTTCTGCAAGCTCATCCATCTGTGGCGCGATCTCACGCCCGCACAGGTCATTTTATATTAATTACTCCATTTTTTTTCGAAGTATAAAAGTATTCGGTGGATTACCTATATTCGAATTCATCAAGCTGATAGAGCTTTAGGCTTCCACGAGCTTCTATCCTAATATTAAACCTCGGTCCTGTGGCCAACCTACTATGACCATTATATTTGTTGGGTTATTTTCGTTCTTGTACCTGGTAATTTATTTTCGTTAGCTAAATTATAGGATCTTTACAAAATAGTTGAATTTACTCTCAAATCCTTAACTGATGTTGCTGCTCATTCCTAACTTTTAATTAAAGTAACCTTATCATTTTGCAGGTTGCCGAGAAGGTGAAGTTCTTCTTCCGGTACTACAGCGTGAACAGGCACAAGATGACCGTGTTGACGCCCGCGTATCATGCCGAGACTTACTCGCCAGACGACAACCGCTTTGATCATCGCCCCTTCCTCTACAACTACCGCTGGACCTGGCAGTTCATGTCCATAGACTCCGCTGTTAGTGGTCGTAGCGATGCTCAAATATACTTTGTGCCTTGATATCAAAACTCTCTCAAGTACGCGTAGGGACTTCAATACACGTTACGGTCGATTCATCTTCAGGGATTGCTGGATTTAGCGTGAAAAGCCGTCAGTAATTGGCTGACGGAGTTACAAACTCAACTATTCTGATAGTGCGGCCCCTGGTTTTTATCTACTCGTAAATATAAAATAAATACACACTCTTGGGATGAACTCTATTTCTCTCCATCTTGGAGAAGATCTTCGAAAATAATTGTATGATTCTGCAGGTTAAAAAGGCTACATTTTTATATCACCGGGACATATTTGTTCTTCATCAGTAAAATCGATAGGAAAGTCATGAACTTGAAACCTGTGCCGCAACTCAATGAGGTGTAGCCTATATGAACTAAACTTGCCAGGCCTTCAGATTGATGCATTCATAGACTAGTTGTCAACTCTTTATTTTCTGATGTAAACTGTAGGCGCTGTGCCTTTCGATAGGAATGGCGGTGACGACGCTCAGTGTGGCCCTGGATGAAGTGTAAAGTTTTATGTAACGACAGGTGAAGAAGCTTGGGGAAGGTCGCGGTAGCGGTGGTGTGGCGGCTCGCAGTGACGGCACAGAAGGTGGCGGCGGCAAGCAGCAGGACGGCGGCGCAGGCGGCAGCGGCAAGAGGACCCATCATACGCATGTGCCCCCACAGCCTCCCCAGCAGCCTGGTGGGTGCTCTAGACCCTCAATTCTAAAGCACATAGTGGCACTTCCTAACCGAATAATCTCCAGTAAAAAAATTGTTCTGTGTCCTCGTAACTGAATAAATGGCTTCTCGTATTTCAAGGCAAAATTTGTCTATGGAAAATCTTTTGGCAAGACATAAATTTAATTTTAAAAAGTCATATCTTGATGTGCTAATTGCATTTTACTGTAAAAATCGTGATTGTTTACTGCGTAAAAAAAATTTTTTCTTGACAATTTTATTTTTCTTTGAATCATGTACGTGTCCTGATCAGAACTGTATATTTTCGAGCAGTTTTCTCTTCTTAACTTTTCTTTAACCTCTTAATCTTTCAAGCCAGTGGTTCCCAAAGTGGGCGATATCGCCCCCCTAGGGGCGATGGAAAGATTTTGGGGGGCGATAAAGAAGAAGAGGGCGTTTTGGGGGCGATAGGGGGGCGGCATTCGGAAGTCGAAGTCAGAAGTTCGAACGTTTGTTTGACGATTTGTGCACAACACGTGCAGCGCATCATGACTCCCAGCGATGGTTTTTTCACCCAGATCTATTTTTAGCGCATTTACTCATTCATGAAATAATGCACTATTGTGCTCGCCATGTCCGTCCGTCTGTCCGCCTGTCTGTCAGTCCGTGACTTTACGTTTTCGTCGACGAGAAAATGCGCTCTCTGTCACTCACTGAAGTGAGTACTGAGTTATATTTTTTTAACCTCTCCTGGGTTTACATCTCCGACAAATTAACGGTCGGACTCGCGGCCGGTCTCACAGCCAATTTCCAAATTCAATGATCAAGGAATACCTCTCAAACTAATAAACTTAGCTGGATGAAACTTGGTACACGTATTTATTAGGACCTAACGGTAATGTAAAGCTCGTCAAAATTTTTCAATTTTGCCATCAATTGTTTTTGCCATATTTATATGGCAATACGTACCGGGCGAATACACAGTGATCAAGGAATTTCTTCCAAATTACTGAACAGATTCGGACGAAAATTTGAATTTACAGTCCTAACTACCGAACGGTGATGTTTAGCTCGTGAAAATTTTTTCGATTGTGCCTTCGTTCGCGAGTTTCATTCGTGGTTTAGACAGCAATACGTGCTTAAATTCGCAGTAATCAAGAAATTTCTTGCAAACTACTGAACAGATTTGAACGAAATTTATTATTTTTATACCTAGCCTCAGCATCGGCGATGTTTAGCTCGTTACAATTTTTTCGTTTGCCTTCGTTTGTGAGTTATACGGCTATACGTAAACGACTCTTGGTCAAACCAGCCGGTAGAAAAGCCGATCGTTTCTCCTATATCTGTATAACTTGCGAACGAAGGCGAATAAGGAAGTGTGAAATCAAGAATGACAGTAAAATGAAAAAAATCTTGCAAACGACGGTAAAATAAATTTTTTTCAATCTAAAAAACACCATTTTGTAGTTAGGAATGTATATTCAAAATTTCGTTCAAATCTGTTCGGTAGTTTGGAAGAAATTCTTTGATCACTGCGAATTTCGGCCTGTATCGCAATATATCTCACGAATGAAGGTGATATTAAAAAATTTTCGCAAGCTAAACGTCACCGTTAAGTTCTGATGAATACAAGTTTTATTTATACAAGTTTCCAAGTAATACAAGTTTCCAAGTTTTATTGAGATGCGTTCATTAGTTTGGGTGATATTCCTTGATTACTGAATTTGGAGATTGGTCGTGAGACCGGCCACGAGTCCGGCCGTAAATTTGCCCGAGACCTCCTATAGGTTTCTAGTGCTGGAACGGTTAAAACAGATGAAAAACACATTGGTTCGCTAAAAGGGTCCTATTTATGAAATACACATTTGTGTTTAACCTTTATCTGTTAGAATTGCAGCGTACTAAATTTCAAGAAAAAGGCGCATGATTTTATATGTGTCTGTGGGGGGCGCTAGAAATTCACTAGGGAGCCAAAGGGGGCGCCAGCCTGAAAAAGTTTGGGAACCACTGTTTTAAGCTTTCAAAAGTCTTGTGCAACTGTAATTCTTACAATTATACATATTTTGAAAATCAGGTCATTGTACCTCTTGAGCAGCAAACGAGACACCACGTCAGGGCATCCAGGTTGCTGTTCTGAGCGAGACGATTGAGCCGTCGGTGACCCTGGTCCTGGCCGAGGACTCGACTGCAGGTAGCAACAAGTCCCCAAGCAATGCAAGTAGCGACACCAACAGCTACTACAGCTGCTACAGTGCACCTGCTACTAAAGATTGCAGCGTTCTGGAGCTGCACGGTGCTGGGGAAGAGGTAAATACGTTGTTTGTCATTTTGCCGCATGCACCTTTTAATGCGCTTGGTAGTTACTATTTCATTGAAGTGATCGTGCTCGATTTGATACTTAATTGATACTTGATACTTTAGGAGTATTTTCTGTCTACTGTCGCTCGGAAAAACAGTATAAAGTAAATGGATTGACTTAAGCAGTGTAGCGATCATAAATATTTTAAAAATTGGTTTATCAAAGGTTTTTTGTAGCGATCATAGATATTTTAAAAATTGGTATATCAAAGGTTTTTTACTGTTAAGATTTCGATATTAAAATAATAAGATATGTTTTCAGTATAAAATTTACCATTTCTAATGACAGTTTCAACATTTGATTACGAGACGATTAGATCCTGCTTATTTTACAGGCAAGTGATGGTTCCTCGTCCACCACCCTGTCCTGCAAAGACGAGTACCTCTCACACTCGCCATCGCTGAGCGGACATCAGGCCAATGAAGCTCTAGTCTCCCAGTAACCTGATTACGCTGACCTCATAAACTGGCACGAGATTCATTCCAGCTACCAAGTCGAAATTCTAATTCTAATGAATGGATTCCAACTCGTTTGATTAAAAAGAAATGGAGGTTTGTGTATGTGACTTGAGTTGACCAAATGATGTTTTTTGGATAAATTTACTGTTATTCTGCATAAATTCAATTCTTTCGGATACGTTTCAGTAATTTTTGCGTAGAGGTTGAGGACTTTGTGTTTTTCTGAAATCGATGACTTGTGATAGAAACAAACAGCTGTGTCAGATTATAAATTCTTGGATTGATATGGAATCCATGTAGAATCGGCGGAGTCAGATTATCAGTTTTGTTTTTATTTGATCTGTTGATGTGGAAACGTTGATGAATAGTTTGATCGAAACTTCTGGTGACGCCTTCGCGATAGCTGGGTTTGGGAATTACCACTTAATGTATTGTTGAGAAGCATTGAATGCTCACGAGATCGTTACGTACCTGCAAAATCCTCGAGCGCGCTGATGACTTGTGAACTCGTATGCAGGGATCAATAATATAGATTAAACTGTATCCTATTTGCACGTCATAGGTTCATTGTGCTCGAGGATTAAATATCAAAGTGCATGGCGTTGGTTCCGAGCTGTTCATTTGAAATGTAATGAGATGATGACTTGAGGTTTCGTTCTGAATATCGGATTTTTGAGGTGCAAGCATGCAATTCATATTAATGGCTGATGATGTTAGCCTGAGGAGCGATTGCCCGATCATATCAAAAACTGCCTTGCCAAGCTCTAATAGATTTCTGGCTGCAGTGTGTTCAAAGAGGCTTTTACAAATAGCGTGGCTGGTTGTAGCAAGTTGCTTCTGATTGTTCAACGTGGATTTTTCAACATCGGTTCAAAGGTCTACAGCAGCTAGAGATGTTTAGGTAACTCTGATGTTAAGAACAATTATTTGAGGAGTCTTTCCACTACATCTTCTACTGCTAGTCAGTTAATGATGGATGTCACTTATTCTCACCTGAACTATGCAAGATTCGCCAATACATACGAGGATAATTAGTTAATCGTATCTATCTGGAGTGTGGTATCTATCTTACGTATCTTCTCTCTAAATGCTGCTATTGCCTCTACCTCAAGAAATTCTTTCGACTTGAGCACTGCCTTTTCCTACAACAATTTGTGTGGTTGGTAATGTCTTTTTGTCAAATTAAGGTATTTTGTTTGCGTTCTCTAATTATAAATGTTCAAAGTGTTCACACTTGTAGCTCTTGAAGGGCTTCAAGGTTTTGTTCGTGTAGTTTTTATGTACGTTTCACTTGGTCACCGTAGATTTCTTTCTTTTGAAGTGGTGTTGTCTAGAAATGTAGATTTATGAGATAGCCACGGCCTTTCTTCGTATATTCCAGTCTGCAGACACGTTGAAAATCGTTACTCTTTTGGTGAGCTGAGCAATGCAATTTACTTGTTCAATATACTGGTACCTTATGACGCGTTCTTGAAACGCGATTTTGTTTAATCTAAAAACCTTGATTATCGCTTATTATTCTGTCCGACATCTCTAAGCTATTAATTGGTTCTCGTGGTACAAGGAAAGGGGCGTTCATCTTCCTTGTCACTGTTCGCTTGTGAAAGATTTTATCAGAGAGTGCAGCTTTTTTGTTGTTTGGTCTCGCGTATTGATGGTGACATTTTGAGCACCTTCGAGGCTTGGTTTAGATTAGGTATTAAACTCAGTTTAATTAGGTGATTATTGTGTCGTTTGCGGAATAGGAAATTGAACTTCAGGTGCTGTGTAGCTGTTTTGCTTATGTTTGTTTAGTGATTAACTTTTGAAAATGTGTCTTTCTTATTTAATGTTGAATTACTGAAGTTTATTTTCGACAAAATTCCCTTCAAAATGAGACTACTTCAGCTTTTAAAGCACTGAAATTATATTAGATGGAAACTAATTTTTCCTTTAAATATTGTTCGTAGTTTAAACTGAGGCTTAAATATTTTTCATTATATTTAACATTGTTTCCTGTAGTTGTTTCCTCTTGCATAAAGTAAGTGGTTGGGCCAGTACCTGTTGCTGTTGTACACATTTTTCTCCTTACGATAGCAATACTCGGTTGCTGCTCTCTCGTGGTATCTTTAGATGGTTTTTTGTTCCAGCATAAATCTGTAGAGCACCTAATTCTAGTATTGCTTCCAAATCTTCAAATTCTCTAAAATTTTACTAATAAATGAATAACCTTGACGGAAGCTATAGTACTCTATCATTGATATGCTAATTTTACCCGCATTTACTTATGATGTTTGTATTCTAGAATAGAATTGTATACTCGTAATCGCACAGAATCAACACTGCCAATAGATGAAAAAGCTCGACTTGTATGCCTGCTGTAATTAGCGGGGTGCCTGCTGCAATTGGAGGGGTGCCTGCTGCAATTGGCGGGGTGCCTGCTGCAATTGGTGGATGCCTGTTGCAATTGGCGGGGTGCCTGCTGCAATTGGCGGGGTGCCGGGATGCCTGCTGCAATTGGCGGGGTGCCTGCTGCAATTGGAGAGATGCCTGCTGCAATTGGCGGGGTGCCTGCTGCAATTGCCTGCTGCTGCTGTCAGGAAGTCATCACTGCCTAAGAACTGCTGTAACCGTACGCTTCAATTCAGAAATCCTGCAACCTTGGACAATCTCGTAGGAAAGAATCCTGATTTAGATTCAGCTTCAATATCTAGTAACCCGAAATATCCTGAGCTGTAATCCTTTTTAATTCATACATGCGTGTTAGCGAAAGTATTCCCACTTAGATATCACGAAACCATTCCAATCTATGGTGTTTAGAATGGACCTATTCGTAATTAGCGTGGCTGTATTGCCTTATTCACAAATTATGCTGAATCACGTTAGCTAAACGATTGTTGAAACTTGCTTAAGGTATTGTGAAACACGCTTGCACTACGTTTAGGTCCGTTGTTGAAGCTGCTATCGTTACGCTTGTCCTCTGTAGAGTTCACTATGGCTGCTAAATGGTTCATATTCCTATCTTTCTTTTGAACTTACTGTAAATGTTGGATTAAACAATTGCTTACTTTATAGGTTGAAATCTAGACTTAGATCAGTGAATTCCGTTTTTCTGTGTAATCTTTTGGCGACTATGTGACGATTCTCCTTGTATTAACCTGACGCAGACGTAGCAATTATTGAGTTATCTTGAGTATGCAGAACACGAAGCTTCAATTGCGAATCAGATTTTCCAGTATTGAAATGAGATTCCATGACTTGCAAATGAATGCTTTCGGTTTCTTCTTCCTCTCCAATGTTTTTGGTATATATAACTGTCGTTCTTAGATGGAATTTGCATTTGTGAAATCGCACATTCTAGACACAATATTATGACCTATACATTACGACATTTATTTAGTTTCGTGAAGTTTTCTTCTTATATTTTGTGTGCTTGTTACTGCAATGTTTTGTGTGCTTGTGACTGCAACAACAACATGTTTTCAGAAACTTGAAAGTTACTTCTTCTGTAGGGATTTTATTGGCTTGCATCTTTAAGGATATAGAAGTTTTTTCTTGCGGGCACTGACGATAATTGTTGTCCTGCGGAAAGGTGTTTCAAGATCATTCCTGTTGCGACTTCCTCGTTCCGTCTTCTAAACTAAACGATCCTGACGAGCACCTTATATCATTGTTCCCGGCACCACTTTGTATTCACTCATTATTGGACCAGTTTCTATGGCTTAGCTTACGATTGATTTAAATAGAAGACCTGTGTTGATGTGATGATAAAAGCCTCTCATGCCCATAATGTTTAGTTAGAAGCCATTTTCTGTCTTGTTACGATGAATTATACTAGTGTGCTACATGCTTCCTTAGATTGTCGTCGTAGACTGACTATTGCTGTCTCATTTTGTTGAAAACTTGGATTTTTGATGAAAATTACTGGTTATTCTTAGAAATACTGTTGATTGTTTTTTATTTTGTTTTTAATATTTTTATTTATAACTGACATATTTATATTTACGTGTGTGCGCACTTTTTGGAATTTTATGCACAAAATTAATATTATATTTAATTCAGGTAGAGGTCATATCGCATACTGTGATTGCTTCTGTGTGTCTTCAGTCGAAAAATGATTTTTTCTATCGTAACCGTTCATATAAATTTATTATTGATTTTTGTTTTTGATTTGTATTTCTCTTTTGTATTATTTTTAACGAGTTTTAATGAAATTCTGTTCTCGACTAATAACGGTTGTAGTTGAAATCTTCTCCTTCTCTCAACTTATTATTGAAGCCCGTTTTGATTTGAGGTTCCTGATTTACTTGTGTGGTTCAACATCGTGTTGTACGACCAGATTGCGGAACATGCCGAATAAATTCACGACGCCAACCAATGCTTTGGTTTCCCTAATTTCCTTAATAAAACCAGTAAACTTGACTTAGTGGATGTGTGAATGAGTGGGGGTCGTGGACACAAGTCGTACGATCGATTGTGGCCGCCAAACTTATTTTTCTTCTGTTGGTAAAATTGTACCACGTCGTTATTAATCAATTTCAAATTTAGTAGTTTTGATTTGTTGTATCTATAGCCTTTTTCTATCAATTTCGCATTTTAAGCCATTTTTTCTCGTGCACACCTGTGGCTGGTAGCTAAATGCTCTTCCTTTTGGTCTTTATCAGCTAGTGAAGCCTTGATGTACTCATTTGTGGGACCAAGAGCCTCTCGTTCGGCATGATTCTCGTCTGAAATTGTTGATGGGCATTATTATTGTGTTAGTCTTGAATTGAGTTACTTTAAGCACTAAAAATCCCGAAATAAAATAAATTTTCCTATATTTTGTTCTAGACTTAAGAAGTGTTCTCATTTTAATAAAGCTTGTTCCGACTTTTCTTTTTGTTAATAAAGTGCGGTTCCATATCTTATCTGTTAGAAAAAACTTAAATTCCTCGGATCTTGTTATTTTTCCTCTGACTTCACGTGGTATTATACATCATTGAATTGCAGTTAATTTCTAATCGCGGGGCCTCGTGCTTCGCACGAAGAGGTTTGGCCTGCATTTATTGAGATATTTTTAACATAAATTGATTTAAATTTGAATGCTTCCGTTCTCTATTCAACGAACAATTTTCGGGATCAAGTATCATCCTGTATCCTCAACGGCTTCATTATTATTATTGATCTCCTCGAATTGAAACTTGAATAGTCTTCTTTAATGAGCCATTAGAAACTACTTTTTATTGCCCATGGGCCTATCAATCACATTGGAAAGAAGTTTTCCCCGAAAAATGTATTTTTTTTTTTGTAGAAAACTTCCCAAAAACGGTATTTTTTGTGTACAGTTTCCCAAAAACTGTATTCGTCGAGTAACATGTGTTGTGTGCACCGTCTGAGCCCCAGTGGGCGGGGTTAGATGGTCAGCCCAACTCGTGATAGTTCACCGGGGGAGATCGCTCGTTCGTTTTGTGTGCGGTTCTTCCAACGCCTCACGAACTCCAGTCAGAGATCCTGACCCCTCATTATGCCTTTTACTGACGCCGCGTGTCGAACTTTACCGTGACTTGGAGCCTGGACGCCACTTCCCCAGTGAAGCAAACTTTCTGAAAGAGGGCCGACTGATATCGTGTTTTATTGATTAATTTTATTGATTAACCGGCCCAGTGGTTACAGTTCAGAGTACTAAGATTGGCGCAGAGAGGCGCGGGTTCGATCCCAGCTCTGTGCGCCAGTTTCTGGTCAGAATCGGCAAGGAGGCCGGGCGGTTAAGCACAGCAGAAGTTGTGAGTTCGAGACCGCTTCAAGCTGTGGATGTTCTGCGATGTTAAGAATCGGCGACAGGCCTACGGCCTAATAAACGCTGAAAACGTTATTATTATTATTATTATATCGATATTTGGCGTCTCGTGCTAGACAGCTCAGGTTAGGTCTGTTCCAGCCGATACCGAAGTAAGGGGTTTAAAAAGGTGTGGAAATTTTGCTTTTTACCTCCACCCCACGTGCTAGTTTGAGTCCAATTCGTATGTATTGGGATGCTCGGAATGGATTAAATTTGTTTTCTATCAATTAGAACATACTTGCAGTAATGAATCCCATTCGACCATAATCACCATATGATAGAAGATCCGGAGACTTCCATGAGCTGCAATAAAATTTTGAATAAGAATATACATCCCTTGCGGAGGCGGCATATCGTGGTTGTAATGAGTAAGATTAAGTCTATTACTGGCTTTAAAATACGAGCTGTGTTTAATACTTAGAAACAAATGAACAGCGGCGCGCAAGTTAGGAAGGGAACTTCAACTCTCGGTGAGTAGTGATCCGACACGATCAATGGTTCGCTTCGCTTTCTTGATGTCACTTGATATTGCTGAGTGACGTCATTTACTGCTAAAAAAATGACTGGCTCACGGAGCATTCACTTACATAATTGATTTCTGATTCATTGTCAACTGGCGTGAATTTTGCTGTCCTTCATTAAGCCTAAAAAATAAGATTAATCTTCCCATTGCCGCCAAAATATCCACGCCATCGTAAGCGTAAAATCCAAAATGTCTCCAAGTTCAGGCGCGCTCCTGTACGTGGAATTCACTTCGAAATAAAGATTTGGGTTCGAGTTGTGGCGCCAAGGATCGCCTCGGACACTTCTGGGGTGAAAGATCAACGTCGGAGTCATTTATCACGCATTGTCATGCGCTGCTATACCAGAGGTGAACAAGGACGTGTCTCTGAGTTCGAGTCTTGCTCGAAAAACGGAGCGTTCAGCACACAGAACGTGCACCCTTATGTATATTAGCTGGTCTCGAGCTCGTACGTGAAGCCGCAGCTCTGAAGTAGTAACCAGCTGTGATATTTGCATCCGCTGAGAGACGTCTCGTTGTTGTTTAATGTAATCTACCGGAAGGCATCAATAATGGGCAGGCGAAAGAATTCCTTTGGGTTTGCAGCTTGCAACCATTTTGAGGTATTTTTGTTTAATCGATATTATGCGCAGGACAGTTTCTTGTTAATAAAACGAAAAAGTAATTTTTTTAACGATTCCCGTTTGCATACAATTTAATACGGTATTAAGGTATTTATGAAGCAGGAATTTGGTGATCAGAATAAATATTGGCGTTTATTGCGTATATACAGTCGTATACTGCATTAAATTCTACGAAGTTGAGTCATATTACGCTATGAAAGCCATGTTTTGCGTTAATCAAACATTTGATAGTGGTATTTTAAATACGTTGATGGAAGCTACATCAATTCTTCGTTTTATACTAGTATATTCTTTAAATGAAGCACTGAATAGTATAGTTCCTCATTGGGTCGCATGCAGGTAAAATTATCAGGTTAAGCAGAAACAGCTGTTGGCCACAAGTAGTACGCTGATATTTAGCGATGAAACGCTCGTCGAATTTCTCGAACGTTACTTATCGCTACATAACTCTTTCTGGCTTACAAAAGTATATATGATTAGGATGATCTTGGAGGAGGCTCCTCTAGGAAGCTTGGAGGTCATTTGCTGTTA